TTCTTATGGTCCTTTGTGAAGAAAACCTATTGGTTGATCTTTTAATAGAAATACTCTTTCCGTCCAATTAGAAAGTGTATATATTTTTATTTTTGGATGTCCAATTACAAAGTAAATATTTTATTAAATACCTCATGTTTTTTAACAAAAGTAAAAATATTATTACATTATTTTTAACTATCTACTATAATTAAAATACTATTATTTTTTAAATACGGCGCGCTGGACAATATAACTTATTTTGGATGTAATAGTAAAAGCTGTCTCAAAATGAATACAAATAATTCAAGAAAGCTTTGTAAAGGTGATGATTGACAAATGGTTAATAAATTTTAATAAAAGAACATTGTTGTAAGGGCATCGACCATATATTCATTGTGCCATAATTATATGAAATGACTTTAAAAAATTTATATATATAAAGAAATAATGATTATTGTGTTCCAATTTGTGGCCATAATTAATTGTGTGTTTGTTCGGGGATAGAATTGGATTTACATTATTCATTCATTTTTCCCCCCCAAAAACATCAAATCAAACACCTATTTTTCATTTTTTATATTATACTAAAAATTAATTTTACATTCATAACATCACATCAACACCTATTTATATCACATCATACAACTATTCAAATTCAAAATTTTTACTATTTAAATCTCAATTCAAAATCTAAACCCAGACAAACAGTGTTTACTTCGCTGCTTGTTTTATAAAACAAGATTTCGGAGTTGCTGGTATTATATATAAATATCCGAATATGATGATTACTGATTATTATGGGAATATTTCTTTAATGTGTGAACTTGGTATCATATTAAAAAAATTTATTAAATCAAATATTTATTTGTTTTTATGTAATACATTGTTAAAAAAAAATATTTAATTAAAAAATATCACATTAAATATCCATATTTATATATATAATATCATATCAAAATTAATTTTTAACTATTTATGAACTTTTTCAAACTCCAAACTCCGTACAGTCTCGTATTTAAATAGAACCTTAATTAGTATTACTTTCGTCGGACATATATTTAGTGTTGTAAATTGAGTAGGATTTTTGAATGTCAGTTATGTATAATTGTGAAAGTATTTTAGAAAATTGTGATATTAGTTAAGTGAAATAATTATTTTGTTAAAAAAAAAATTGTGAGAAAAAAAATGTTATAATTTTATTAAAAATACGAATACAAAGATTTTATTGGGACCGGTGTGTTTATTTTTTATTTCAAACTCAAATTATACTATTCATTATGTATGATTTCATTAAAAATATAATATTTTATCAAATAAAATAATATATCAAAATATCATTTCAATAAAAAAACTCAAATTTCAACTTAATTTTAAACTCAAACCTAAATATAACATTAATAATTTCCAATCAGGTTTAGATCATTTCATTATTTTTTTAGTGTTTCAAATCACCTGAAAGCATGAACAAACACAAGGAACATGAAAATATGAAATAGACCCAAACATTTAAAATCTTAAAAAAAATTACAAAAAAATAGAATAAAACTAAAAATTTAATTAAAAAAAAAACCATCATAATTTATAAATTTCAATGATGACTAACATGTGCATAATAAGATATCAACGAAAGTTATTCATACCATAAAATATTTTAAACATATAATATCAATCAAGACTTTCAATTGTCGAAATAATTAAATAAAACTTGTTTATAATCTTTGTTGGATTTTGGAGTAGGTAACAATATTATTTTCATTTTTTCTACTCCGAAATATCAAATTAAGTATTTATTTTTATTTATTATATTACTTTTAAAATATTATATTAATACATATTTTTATCGTATTACAAAATTATTTTAATTTATAATTTTATTATTTAAAATTTAAACCTCAACCTAAAACCCCACCAAAAAAAACCATCGGGATTATTAAGGGGTCAATTTGTATATTTCAGATTATTTGAAGTTTGGAGTGTATTCGCACAATATTATTTATTTTTTTACATGACAATCAATATATATATATATATATAATATGTATAGTTTATTTTCTAACAAAAATCAATAAAAATTCAACATAAACTATTCCATTCACATTCATTATCCCCAAGTTATAAGAAAAAAAAAATTGTTCAAACCAAATACAACTTTGAATTGACATAAGTTTTAAATAAATAAAATCTAAGTATCTTAATCTATAAAATATTATACTAAAATTCAATTTTATATTTAAAATTTTTGTAGATTTTTCATAAAAATTGTACTATTTGTTTTTTCCTTTTTTTTTTTAAAAAAAATATCAAATTAAATAATTATTTTATTTTAATATTTTTTTAAAAAATCAATTTTACATTTAAAATATCATACGATATTAAACAACTATTCAATTTTTTTTTTACTATTAAAATAATCCAAATTCAAAAATCAAATCTCGGACGCCTCTAAATCGATCTGTTACACATGGTTCGTCTAATGTGACTTGTTTTAATCAATCGGAGATTTATCCAATATATATATATATACTATTTCCACGTACTAAATAGTCAAATTAATTACACGCACTACATGTGATGTGAAGCAATTCATAATTAATTTTATTTATTAGTAATTTATTGTGGCACTGTTCTTTCAATTCTTTGAATGAGCATTGAATCATATCGTAACGTTGTAAATTCACACTTTATTTACCTATCTTATTTGTTAACTTGAATGTTGATATATTTTATTTATTATTTAATATCAATTTATATATTACAAGAACCTTGCTCGAGAAACCATCTCAATACCGACCGATTTCTCAAGTCAAAGAGATCGAGTTTGATGGACTCCCGCACCGATCAGTTTAGGTTCAAAGAGACCGAGTTTGATGTTTTGAATGTAAAATTAATTTTTAGTATAATATAAAAAATGAAAAATAGGTGTTTGATTTGATGTTTTTGGAGAAAAAAATGAGATGAATAATATAAATTAAATCCAATCCCCCAAACAAACACACCCTTAATTTTTACTTAAATTACAAATATTCTATTACACACACATATATATATAAGGGACAAATGATAAAAATATAAAAATTATCTTACATATTTTCATTAACTAATAAAATACTACTCTCTCCGTCCCACATAATTTGTCTCTATTTTCTATTTTCGTTCATCCCACTTAACTTGTCCTTTTTATTTTTGGAAATATAATTATGAACTTTAATAGTATTTTAAATTTTAAATTTTATAATTTTCTTAATTTTAATTAAACTATTTACTTATCTTAATCTTAATCTATAATTACGTTTACTATATAATAATTATTTTTACTAATATACTTCTTAATTATTTACTAATTACACTTTACCTAAATTTTCGTATCTACAGTAATAGTTCCATATTTTTTGGGATGGAGGGAGTATTACATTTTTAATCTACTACTACAAAAAAAAAAAAAATCAAATGTATATTTCCTCCAAATGAAAGGAGTATTATTTTTTAGCATATTTATATATAAACAGGGAATTTATTTTTTAATATACAACAAAAATTATTTCTTAATTTTAAATATTTTTAGCTCCAATTTTTAGGTTAAAGTATGTAACTATTGTGTGATGTTGTTAGATGCACAAGGATTTTTCTTATAAGAACGAAAAAATTACGTTATGTTTAGAATATATTTAACCTTATTTGATACTATTCATTTTTTTAAATAATATCACATTAAATACATTTTTTCTCACACAAAGTATCAAATCAAATATTAATTTTTTACTTTTTTTTAAATTCCCAAAATTCCAAAATTTCAAAAACTTTTAAAAATTTCTATCTAAACAAAGCTTTATCATCTACTACTCACTATATACTTTTAAAGACTCATTTGTTAAAGTGATATTTGAATTGAGATTAAAGTGTGTTCACTTTTAAACCGTTTATATATAAATATATATATTATATTTATCAAAAATCATATTATTAAAAAATATTAGATGAATAACTTAGAAATATAATATTTTCTCTTGTAGATATACATAAACACAAAAATTAAAAAATAATACCTCTTCGTCATTCAAATTTATATTTATATATATTTTTTATTATAAAAAGTATTCATATTTCATTTTCAAAGTGAAAAATTACTACACTTTTGTTTTTTTACTAAAAAAAAAAATAACAATTAGTATCCACACACATTTGCGTAATATATTTTATCATAAAAGTAAAATAGGTAAAATTGTAAGTGAAAGTATTTTAAAAAATTTATTAAAATGTTTATATAAGCAAGTATTTTTAGAGTGGCAAATTTAATTTGCATGTTAAAGAAAAAATATAATAGTGATATATTGAGTAGATAAATTTTTTTTAGTATAAATAAAATATAGATAAAATAGATAAATTTGATGGACAGAAATAAAAACAATATTTACATGACTTCGGTGGACAAGTACAAATTTTAAAAAATGACAGTGAGGTAAGAAAAATAAATAAATAAAAGGGGAGAGAGAGAGAGAGAGAGAGAGAGAGAGAGAGAGAGAGAGAGAGAGAGAGAGAGAGAGAGAGTTGTATAAATGAGAAAGCTAATTTTAGTGGTTTGTATGGAGTACATCAATCATTGCAAAGTTGCTAGTCCAACTTTATGATAAGATCCTTTTCTTTTTACTGTACATAAGATATACACACTAATATTAATATATATAGATAGATATACACATAAATCGTACCTATATATTTATATGTATCGAATTCCTATCCTACCCTACCCTACACTACCCTACCCTACTGTCTGACAGTGCCATGTTGCACCTCTCTATAATCTCCTCTAAATATTGAGGGTAGAAAAAGACAAGAAAAAAAGAAAAGCATTCAGACAACTCACGAGTAAACACTTTACAGATTATTTCCAAGTAACAAAAAAGGACATCCACAAACCCTCGTGTAAACATACATAACATACATATATTATATAATAATAATAATAATAATAATAATAATATAAATTGTGAAAAAATAATCATTCACTGATTTAAATATAAAACAATTACATAAAAACAAAATCTGCAGAGGTCTTCCTTCCTCCTTCCTCCTTCCGCCCTTCACAAGTTGTGGTGTAGTGCTCATCCAATTCTCTTCTTAATTAATTACACTCCATTTTTTTAATATATATATATATATATACATACCAGCACCATTGGATCGGATTTTCTGCAGATTTTCTACCGACATCTTCTTCGATTGATTCCTGTTTCTGCTGGATTCTATTGATTGAAGCTGAATTCCATTCTCATCCTGTATATATATATATATATATATAGAGAGAGAGAGAGAGAGAGAGGAAAGTGTATAAATATATATTGGTAATTAAGTGTAATTAGGGTTTGCTTAATCAGATTGGAATGCTGGCCGTGTCGCCATTGAGGAACTCAAGCAATGCGAGGGAGAGAGATATGGAGAGTTTCTCGACGGACGGAAATGAATTCCCAGACTTCTCTGGAGGGAATCTTCTCGACAGCATCGATTTCGACGACATCTTCATCGGAATCAGTGACGGCGATGTGCTCCCCGATTTGGAGATGGATCCCGAAATCCTCACCTTCTCCCCCCTCAGAGACGACGATTCCAATTACGCCGCCGTGAAATTGGAGGGCGTTAATCTCCACGCCGCCGCCTCTCTTTCGGATCTCGGGTCGGGCCCCGACAAGACGGCGCCGGAGGCCCAAGAAACTGCTCTCAGCAAAACGAAAGATGAAGCCTCAACCCTTAACAGTTCTCAATCTCCGGTGAAATCCGACAAGGCAAGAAAATCGACGGCGGCGGCGACCGCTAAAAACCCGCCGGGAAAGAGGAAAGTTAAGGTAATTTTTTTTCTAGGGTTTTCAATCCCAACCAAATCTTTTTCTTCCAGTAAAGCTGTCACACACTTCATGGGAATTGAAAGCCATGGAGCCATAGATTCACGGGCTGATTCAAGCTGAAATCAATCCCAAGTGAAGTGAATTAAACTTGTACACTTTTTAAAATCAATTTATTGAAGTTCGTGGCTGCGAATCGATCAGGTGGACTGGACGCCGGAGCTCCACCGGCGGTTCGTGCAAGCGGTGGAGCAACTTGGCGTCGATAAAGCAGTCCCATCAAGAATTCTTGAGCTGATGGGAATCGATTGTCTCACTCGCCATAACATCGCAAGTCATCTGCAAGTACGTAGTCTACCTTAAACTCCAATTCTTTAATTCCCCTTTATGGAGGTCGTCTTCCTCGTTGGTACTAAACCAGTTTTAGGGATTTCGATTTAATTAATTAATTCAAACTGGACTTTTCCCTCTTCTCGTGTGTGTTTTTATTTTTAAGAAATGAATTATTTTGGGTTTTCGTTTTTCCAGAAGTTGTGCAGAATGCTTTTACGGACATATCTGCAGACCCCTTTTGTCCTCTTGCTGATTGTTCGTAATTCTATTGTATTGTCATGAACAAAAGCAAAAAAAAAAAAAAAAAAAAAAAAAAAAAAAAAAAAAGAAAACAAGAAAACATGAAATGAAGAATGAACAGTTTCTTTTAGCTCCATAAAGTGTGATGAGCTATGGAGAACCCCTTTTGGGTGCCATGAGCTCATTCTAGTGGGCACATGGTGGAAAAAAGTCTCTCCATTTTTGTCAACCAATTTCTCCATCAGTACACTACACCACCCACAAAATATTCCTTCAAAAAAAAAACATACTCATTCTGGACGTTGAAAATACTCACTACCAATATTTTCATAATTAGGCAGCTCAAATTTATTATTTATTCCCAATAAATTCTTACAAATTAATTTAAATTTGCAGAAGTACCGTTCCCATAGAAAGCATCTGCAGGCGCGGGAAGCCGAGGCGGCGAATTGGGGCCACCGGCGGCATACGTACGGTGGCAGCGGCTGCGGCGGCGGCGGAGGAAAGAGAGAGCATATGAACCCTTGGATTGCTCCCACGATGGGGTTTCCTCCACCCGTGACACCCATGCCTCATTTCAGACCCTTACACGTGTGGGGCCACCCTTCACTCGACCACTCACTCATGCACATGTGGCCTAAACATCAAACCCCTCCTCCACCACCACCGCCGGTGGCGGCGCCCCACCCGCCATGGCCATCACCGCCCACGGCTGACCCTTCCTTCTGGATTCCCCACCACCAACATGTAAGTCTATATATTATTATTATTATTATTATTATTTTTAATTTATACTTGTTCTGTCCAATTTTTATTGTTCTAATGTATATTTATATTTATGGGTTTTTTTAGGTAATCGTCTTTTTGTCATAATCGACAAATTTGACCTTAATTGTGTGGTAGGGATTAAAAGTAATAAATGAATAGAGAGTAAAAATATAAAATTTGTATTTAAAAAAATATGACAAATAGTTGTTAGACATTTCAAATAAAAAAATAAAACAATAATTTGTGAAGAGAGGAAGTAGTATTTTTTATTTTTTTTACTCATGCAAGATCTTGTTAATAAATAGTTTCTAACAGTCTTTTGTGAAACCGTACATAAATATAGGTCCCAATGGCGGGCACGCCTTGCTTCCCACCGCACCTAACGCCTACGGTAATAACAAAATCCCGTTACAATTATTTTATGTCATTGAAAATAATAATTTCACTTTTTTATTTATCTTGTTATAGAAAAAATAAATTTATTTATATAGCAAAAAAATATACTACTAAATCTTACTATTTTTAACCACTTTCTCTATTTTTATTATAAAAAAACAAAAAATATACTCTACATTAAAACTAGTGACCATAGTAGGGTCTATTTTCTTAATCCTATTATTATATTTTCCATCTTTTTACTATACTATCACATAATATTTTATAAAAACATATTTATTTTTTCATATAAAATATAACACTTAATAACTACTTCACCTCTAGAAAACAATGAAAACCAATATATTAATTCTATTCTTTTTCAATTTCTAACCTGATTTTATTATTTAGATTCAATGTTATTCCAAAAAGTATATTTTTCTTTCTCTTACAAAATTTTACATTAAAAATTGTTTTCATAAAAAATTAAAACATTCAAACTCAATCCAAACCGAAAATAAAAAGATTCATAAGTTAGTCCTTACAAGTTATCTTTGCCGCGTTGTAATAACATGTTATTTTTTTTAAAATTTTTGTCTCTTTAGAGGTATCCGGCTCCACCGGTCCACGGCATCCCTCCTCCGGCGACAATGATCAAAGTCGAGCCGGGCATTGGCTTCCCCACCGGACAAGCACTGCCCCGACCTCCCTTAGATGTTCACCCGGTGAGCCACAAATCCCACTGATATTTCTGTTCAATTAATTTTTTCAGATGTACAATTTCTTACAAATCTCAGATTCATTAAAATTGCTTGTCGTTATGTCTGCATGTGTAACATTATCATACTCGAATAAGTCAATCAACATTGATATATACTTATCTAAGCAAGTCATATAGATACGTACTTTTCGAGTGGTCACATATATATAGCTAAAAATAATATCTTGCTGGAAAACGTGTGGCAGTCAAAGGAGAGTGTAGATGCTGCCATTGGAGATGCTTTGTCGAAGCCATGGCTGCCTCTGCCACTTGGGCTTAAGCCTCCGTCGGTTGACGGCGTTATGATCGAACTTCAACGGCAAGGTGTACCGAATGTGCCCCCGAGTTGTGGCTAGCTAGCTGAATTCGGGTGTTCTTGATCGATCCGAATAACAGACAAGAAAGAAACCTAATTCGACGACATTTCTGGCCCGGCCCGAGTTTGAATCACGAATATTCTAATGTGAAACTTGCTTCTTTTATATGGTGTTATGTGTGTGGTGTAGTTGTTGTCTCTATCGATCTTCTTGGGTGCAAGAAGAAAGTGTACGATGTTGGACATGTGGGCATTGGTTTTGTATTGTAGATTATTATTACTAATATAGAGTACTCCGCGGCACATGCACTTGGGAATGATCCTTTGTTTTTCTTCAATATGATCTATGCAAATAAAATTAACACTTATTGGTTATAATTACTATATATTTATATATATATTTCAATATATTTATAATACAATATATGTTATATTATAATATATATTATATTACTTTTTTTTTTTTACTACGGTATCTCATTTACTATAGACATGGGATATTATAAGGAGTATAATTAATAAATTATTAAAAATATATTATTAAAAATAATTATAGTATAATAAAAATAATTTTAGATTAAGACGAAGATAATTAATTATTATAATTAAAATTTAAAAAATTAAAAATAAAAATTTTTAAATGATATTAAAGTGTATAATTTTTTTTCAAAAAAAATGACAAAATAATTGGGATGGACCGAAATGAAAAAATGGACACGGTAAATGAGGCGGATAGAGTACAATTCAATATAGATTGTACTATGTGTAAATATACGTTGGTTATGTATATAAATATCTGACTCGGTCAAATCAGCATTATGCTGACTTGACGGGATCAGCACACGGGGGGTGTGTTTGGCAATCAACTGTTAGCTGATTCAATTAGCTGTTAGTATTTAGTTGATTCAATTAGCGGTTTGACTAGCTGATTAAATTAGTTGTTTATATTAAAATATTTGGTAAAATAACTGTTTCATATTAGCTATTTATATGTAAAATGACAATCGATGACATTTCTATTTTAACTTTTAAAATTTTTTAATTTTGTTTTTTAAAAAAAATTACATTTTTATTATTAGTTATTTGAAGTTATGAAATGTGTTATAAAATATTTTTTATTAATTTTAGAAGTGAAAAAAAATAATAGTATATATTTTTATTAAGAATAATGTAAAATATAACAAAGTATTCATTTATTTTTTAGTAACTGTACTTTCTACCTAACATTACAAATACCCTTACAACTTACAATATATTACATAAATGTTATTACCTTTATAACACATACTAATAAGGATTTAGTTATTTCTATTTTATTCCTATTATATCCCAATATAATACTAATATTTCTAAAACTACGTTAAAAAAGCAAATGGATACTTAGTTTCGGGACAGAGGGAGTAATATTTTAAGGGCAAATAAGGAAATTAAGAAAATTAAAATGAAAAAACTTTTCAAAAATTGGGTTATATAAGTTTTTAGAAATTAGCTTTTCTGGGTCAATAAACTATTTCAAAAAATTAATTTATCAATCACGTGAATTAACTTTTTGATTGATCAAATAATTAAAAAATTCTTAAATAAGCTAAAAGTTCTCGAAAAAGCTGTTTGTCAAACACTTTCATGATCTACAATTCTACTTTTCTAGCATTGATTAATATATGGGTTCACATAATTTCATAAATCGAATCTACTAAATTCTCAGAGATTTTACTTCCGTGGTTGAGCGATTTGACTTTGTCGTCATCCAGTATTGGTAAAGGAGATAAAATATTTGACAAATAGATTTTGTTTGTCTCCGTCAATCTAATCTCATCGATAATAGATGTTATATGTTGTAGGGCAAGAATATGATGAGTTACGTTTATGACAAAAAACAACAGAATAATTTACATGCTGAAAATTTCAATGTATGTCTTGTCCCAAACGGATGGCATATCAAACACGCTCGCCGGCTGCGGGCGGATCCATTTACAGCACGTACAATGTCAATATTCGTACTAATAATAATAAATTAAAATAATTCAAAAGTAAATTCTTCTTTTTTTTTTTTTTTTTTTTATTTATTTTTACCTCCTGGGTTTCATCGAAGTTTACATGTCAATAATATATAATGTCCTAATCCATCAAATTATTGATCATCAATTCGATTTGGGTTAGATTGGGGTTGGGCATGGCCTGGCTTTGCATAGCTCCATTGCTGACCTTCTTCCTCCTTCAATCCCAATTCTCTGTATCTGTATCTGTCTCCGTATCCCTATACAACCATAGCTGTTCCTCCGTCCTCCCGTTGCCGGACTCCGTCGCCGGCGCCACTTTCCACCGCCTGAACCAAAACATCTCCCTACCCACCGACTACTTCTACTTCACCGGAGGCGACAAACTTCTCCGGCCAAACCGTACATCTTCCGATTATTCCTACTTACAGTTCGCCAAATCCCTAAAATTTCCACTCAATAATCCATACATCTACGAAACCACCATCCATGGCGTCTACCAACTCCGAGCCTCGCTCTACATCCGGTCACCGTACCACCGCTACTACAACTCGTCTTCTTACACTTCCAGCGGCCGGAGCCGGAGAGCTCATTGGTACCCCACTGTCAGAGCTTTCTTGAGCGGTTTTTGGTCGGAACATTCCAGAAAGCTCTGTATGGTCGGGTCTGCCACGTGGCAATACGACGTCGCTAGAGGAAGAAATCTCGACGTCGTTCTCAAGCTCAGCTACGCCGCCGTAGACGCTCCGACCATGCCGGAAAGCGTCGTCGCCGGAACTTTCGAAAGCACCTCCGACGACGACGATCCGCTAGCGAATTTCGATCCCATTTCCATTTTTAGCTTTCCTCGTCTTCCCAACTACCAATACTCGCTCGTTACAGAGGAATTCGTCAATGGAGGACCGTCGTTTTCGAACCAGTCGCTTAGCCTGCCGCCGGTGAGATTTTGCTCCACCTCCGGCGGGCTTACTCAGCTCCAACTGTGGTATCCGTTCGACTGCAACGTATCCGCCATTAACGGCTGCTCTCCTCTAGGCCCCAACGCCACTTCCTTCCCTCTCTTCGTCTCCTTAAACACGATCCAGTGCTCGGAGATCGATCGGAAAATCAGGTACATGATAACCTTCCAAAATGGCAGCTACCAAGAACTGTACCAAACAAGTTTCGATCTAAGATCGACGTGGATTGGGGAGGGATCGTGGGATGAAATCGAAAACCAGGTGTTCATCGTTGCTTGTCGAATCTTGGATCCTACAAACCATTTCGGTGAGGCTGTCGGGGATTGTTCGATGAGATTAAGATTGCGATATGCATCCACGTGGAACATCCGAAACGTCGCCCAAATCGTCGGCCAAATTTGGACTAACAAAACGGTCAACGATTCCGATCACTACTTCAGAAAGATTGAGCTCACAAGCGTCGCCAACAATGGCGTACCGTTTCGATATTCTCAAGGTTTGCGATACGAATACACAGAAACAGATCGAGTTCGAAAGACATGTGTAGCTCAAAAGAACAAGAACAATAACAAGATTAAGTATCCTAACAAGAATTCTCACGATATGAGATTCGACATGAACATAAAGAACTCCAAAGGACAATACTGTGGTTGGGGAGGAGCCATTCCTATTTCGATCGGGAACCAATTATACGGCTCCAACTACGCATTCGTTCGATCCAAATCCCTTCCGAATAACACAACCTCGACGATCAGCTACAAAATAAACATCCAAAAGCGAATCCCCACGAAGAACTTGTCGACAAATCCTCGCAGCGAATGGGAAGAGATCATAGCCGAGGGAGTGTACGACGACGAAACAGGGCACCTCTGTATGATCGGGTGTCGCGAGCTGCCTCGAAATCCTCATCTCCCGATCACGGCCAACTCTTCAAAAGATTGCGAGATTCTTCTCGACATAAAATTCCCATCGATTACCGACACAAGGGGGGGCCTAATCAAGGGGAAAATCCGAAGCACGCGTCCGAAACAAGATCCTCTGTTCTTCGACGATCTAACCTTGTCGTCGTCTGCATATTACCTTTCTGCGGCGAGGAAATCCGTATCGAGGATGGAGGTCGAGATCGGCATGGTCTTGGCTTGCAACACGCTCTTATGCATCTTCGTCGCGATGCAACTCTTACATATAAAAAAAAATACGACCAACGCTTGCTCGGGGATATCGATCGCCATGCTCGCGATCCTCTCGTTAGGACAACTCACCCCTCTCGTCCTAAACTTCGAAGCCGTCTTCTTCCAAACCAACCACCGGCAAAGACTCTGGGGATCACTCGAAACGAACGAAGTCGCGATCCGAGCGATATCGATGCTCGCATTCCTGCTGCAAATACGCCTCCTCCAATTAGTTTGGACCGCCAAGGCTAACGAAAGCGCGGATTCGTGGCTCATCGAGCGAAAGTCTATCCTCGCATTGCTATCGACGTATGCGTTCGGCGCGTTCGCCACCGTAATATACGTAATGAGCCAAAGTAGGCACGCTGTCGGTTATTACGGCCGCCATGGCCTACGATCCTACGGCGGGTTGATTCTTGACGGATTTCTTCTCCCGCAAGTGTTGCTCAATGCCGTGGGGGGCCGGGCAGCGGGGGAGATGCTGTCGCCGTCGTTCTACGCGGGGATCACGGTGGTCCGGCTGGTGCCGCACGCTTACGACGTGTACAGAGCTCACAGCTACCCGGTTTCCGGCGCCGGAGGTTCTTACTACTTTGCGAATCCGGCGGGGGATTTTTACTCGACGGGGTGGGATGTTGTGATTCCTTGCGGGATGATTTTAATGGCCGCCGGTGTGTTTATGCAGCAGCGCTACGGCGGGCGGTGCATTCTGCCGGTGAGATTTAGGGGAGTGTACGAGAAGGTAGCGCCGGCGGCTGAGGATGAAACGCAGCCTCAACCTCAAGTTCATACTCAGACTGATGCTTCTGCTGCTACGGGAGGAGGATGATGTTGATGGAGGGAAACGTGGTGGGGGAGTTGAGAATCATGAATGTATTGTTGGATTTCGAGAGAGGAAATATTTGTATTTTTGGAAATACGTTAGGGTAAATAAATAATCATTTTCTCACAATTAATTTTTAGTGGACGAGAAAATTACATGGCAACTTATAATGAAATCAGATGAAACTCTGCTCGAATTAATTGGAGGGTAAATTATATATGAAACTCTACTCGTTGTATTTTATTTATTGTATAAAGCTCAACTCTTTTTTCCTTTTTTTTTTTTTTTTTCTAAAATTGATATTTTGTTCTCAATAAAAATATAAATTACACAAATTTTATACAAATAAAAAACGTCAAAATATTTTAAATAATTTTTTTAATAATCTTTCAATTATTTATTTATGTATTTATTTTATTAAAAAAATTATTTAAGATTTTTTACATTTATTATTATATATAAAACTTGTTTACTTTAGGTCTTTATTTATAATCAAATGTCAATTTTGGACAAGAGGGTATTTCGTATTAACTTTATATTAACACTTTTACGCAATAAATAAAAGAAATGGTGTTTTTTGTATTTTTACTAAAAAAAAAAATACAAAAGAATGTTATATAATTTACCCTTAATTGGATATTCATCATTTTAGTTTGTGTTGTGTTTCTTGATCAAACTGAACTTCGGGTATTGGATAAAAACAAGAAAATCTCACACGGAAATTTGATTAGCGCATAACACTATATATTATGCAAAATCATAAGATAAAGAAGATAAATAACAAAAATAGAGAATCGATCAGTAGTCTCAGGTCACAACCACTGCCTTCACCACTCCCAAGTCGTTTAATGTTGTCGACACCACAAGGTGTTGAATGTTGGTACTCCACTTCTCGAAGCAATGGATAGAAATCGACTTAATAGAAGGTAAGATAGTGAACAATGGAACAATACATCACGTTGATAATACTATCGAACATAACTTCTAGAAGAGAACTCATAACTATCGATTTCACTATCTGTTTTTCACCATTTCTTAAATACACCGACCAACCCTATATTTATAGATGTGGGAGAATTTGATAAACTACTCCAATCTAGCGGGAAGCCAAACTTACCTGATGTAGAGGCGACAGGGTAGGAACAACCAAAATTGAGTTTAGGCAAAAAAGACAAGAATTCAACTATCAACTTCGGAACCGTTTCAGAGAAAAGTGAATTAATGGATTGGAACGATTTGGGTGAGATTTGCTAAACAAATCAGATTTTATTGGTTAGAAGTCAAACGGGTAGGGCTTGGTTCGGTTTGGGTCAAATAGGGTCAAATAGGTAGGGCAAAAACATACCAACAATTTGTAATTTTTCTAATTACGCTTATTATAATTAATTACAATTTTTTTAATGTTTTTTGTTAATTAAGATTGTTTCATTTCTATAGATTCTTAATCAGAAAGATTTTCTTATTTTGAATATGTAGCTATAGGTAACAATATCAAAATCAGTACATATTTTTATCAATAAAATATTATTCTCTTCCATTTTAATTCAACAAGGAAATAATAATATTTTATTGGTTAGTGGAAGTACTTAATTTTTTTTTTTTTTGATATTTTTATCATTTGACTTTATGTATAAAATAATTGTATGTATAATAATATATTTGTAGTCGAATGAAACTTTAAGTATTTTGGTATTAGTGAACTATTGTGTTTTCTAAAATAAAAAAATAATACTTTTTGAATTGTGACGGAAATAGTATTATTTTTTATTTTTTTAATCGTACCCATAATATAAAAATTAATATTCCTTCCGTCTCATAATAAACTATTTATTTTTTCATTTTAGTTTGTCCTATAACAAAGTATCATTTTTTTTAAAGTAATTATACTATCTACCTACTATTACAAATGCTCTTACAACTTACATATATTACACAAATGTCATTACTTTTATATCACACAACTAAGTGATTTTGATCATTTCTATTTTATTCATACTATATCTCAATATTATAATAATATTTCTAAAACTACGTACTAAACACAAATAAATAACTAGTTATGCGACAGTACTTTGAATTGAATATTGACTTTATAGATGTATAAAAAAAACATATATGTATAATATTAAAATTTATACATTATATTTTTTATAATATTTATGAGAACCACTCAAACATATATTGAATCAATAAACCCTAAATGTATATACTAATTAGGATGGAAGAAATATATTGTCTAAATTGAAAAATGTTATTTTTTTTATTTACAAAGGATCATTTTTTTTAATGAATGAAATGTTAATTTATTCATATATTAATATTTTTTAAATTAATAAAATTATGGTCTCAAAATTTTATTTTAAATACGTATTCCTCATTTTTAAATAAAATTTTCAATGCCTAATGGCTTTTTTTCTTCTATATTTTATATTCTCTACACTATTTTTTATATTTTACATAATATATATATATCATTTTCCCAAAACAAACACATCTATATTTTTCTATTGGTTCTACATTATTTAATTTTTATATAATTATATATTTTAATTATATTTTAAATAATTTATATTTCTTTAATTTTAAAGTTATTTGTATAATATTATAATTATTTAATAATACAAATTAATTACTTACTTATAATTATTTTAAAATTAAAGTATTGTAAGATCTAAAATATGTATCCCCAAATGCTTGGCTTCCTGTTCCAGGTAGGGTTTGAACATCCAAAACCCTTTCGACTTCTTCACTCTTCAGCAACGATAAGCGCGTCGAGTTAATGGCTATCACCGCCGCCAGGTCCGTTTTCCGGTCTTCGGCCGTCTGCAAAGCCGCCGCGAGGTTCGCCGCACAGTCTAAAGCTTCCCGCTCATCTCCGTTCCGCCTCCCCTCCCGAACGCCCCCACTTACCCGCCGATTCTTTCGGTATCTCCACTCTTCTTTACATTTCCAACTAGTGGTTGATGATTCAATGTATTAACTACTTTTGTAATTTTAATAATTTGGAAGCTCCCCTGCTGAATTGAGTGCGTGTCTGGACTCGATGCAACCGTACCACACTGCCACTGCTTCATCGCTGATGACCTCAATGCTCACCGCCTCGCGCTGTGGTTTTGGTTGGTTACCGGAAGGTATTTTAAGTATATTTAACTCTATTTTCAAAGAATTTATCGTTTTTCGCTTGAATTTATAGATTAATTTTATTTCCTTCCGAGCAATTACATTACACTGTGTGTACCATGCCTGATCTGATTTAATTGAATTCAAGTCTGCCTATATATTCTAGTGCTCTTTATAATCACCTACCTTGATTTATTTATTTAATGTACTATGAGCTTTAGATGTCATTTTGGAAATGAAAGTTTTGGGTGGAAAATTGCAATTTGGATTATTTAGGAACATTGAAGAATAGACTCCTGATAAAATGGAATTGTAGATGTTGAATATGTATATTGCCAGTTCTGCTACTATTCATATGCCTCTGAATTCTCAGAACTTTTAGTTGTAATTCTACTGCATTGCTTATAAGTGTGTAATTGTCTTTCTTTCTCTCTTGTCTTCTGTGTGCAAAAATATAGGTAAGGTTAGGGATTACTTCTGGGGGGGTTCTTTTGCATTTTGGGAGGAATTTATCCTCAGTTCTATCCTGGATAGTTTTTCTTCCTTAATATATGAGAGTCATTAATTAAGTCTTGAGCACTGGAAAATTGTTTCTTACATTATTGATCTTTGATAGCATCCACTGAGATTGAGGTAAAGGCGTCTTTCGAGTACAAACTGAAGCCTTTGGTCTATAAAAGAAGCATCAGAAATATCATGACCTGGATTACTAGTATTATTTTTGGTTTATGTCTATGACAAGCCCAAAGAATCTCTACTCATTGTGCCATGGAGTTTGGCTTCCTTGTTCGCAATATCTAGATTTCTGTGGATGAAGTTTCCTTCCGGTGCTAATTTTTTCCTTTCAAAACAAGTTGTTGAACTTTCAGATTTGTCCATTATTTTTACCCTCATGACCCGTATCCAATTCCTTCTTTGATCTTCTTCATTAGTGCCTCTGGATTTATAAAGATGTTTTTACCTTGCTTACAGTAAAGCTTTAAACTAACTGTTGACTCTTTCATCCTTGATTTAGGTATCTAGCAGCGTCTCTTTGCTGACCTTGTCCTGTCGTATATCCGGTGAGTTAGTCATTGAGTGTTTGCTTCAAGCAGACTTGGTACAAATCCCTCTGCATATTCATAGTATTCATTTCACTTAGAGAACCCTAAATAAAATAATTCAGTCTTAAACCCTTCCTATTCTCATTGAATTTGATGCACCGTGAAATTACCAATTACAGTAGACAACATACGACACCCAGACCTTTTTGTTTTTTTATCCTTAACTTGAAGATCAAATATATGGTTCTGTGTGAGTAGGGATGGACAAATTTTGATAAGGACCTCCCTTCATTCTTCATGTTGTTGTAGGCATATACAATTATACATATATATTTCACAATTTTCATGCTAGATGCTTTAAACCTTGTAGTCATGTTTTGACTATTTACGCACAGCTATTGATTATTTTGCTTCCGTCTATCATTATGAAATCAGCTTGCAACGATGATGTGTGATTGGGAGACAAGGAATAGTATCTACCCTACACTTGTGTCTGTGGGTCATGGAAAATGAAGAATTGGAGAAGCATGACTACAATGTTGAGAGAGAACTAAATGTTGTTTTTTCATTGTTTTTTAGATGTGAAATCTACTCACCAATTCACGAGAATACTCTCACGCTCCATCTTGCTTTTTGGTTGGCTTTTGTGGACCATGTGTCGTAAATGTGTGCTATCAGCCATGTAGTTGTGGTGTATCAATCAGCTTACTAATCTTGCCTCATTCCATATAATTGAAACTGGCTATTAGAAATGAATAAAATCATTTTCCCCTCTGCATATCTAAGTGTATTTCGACAAAATAGTTGCTAGCATTGTCGTGCCCACTTTTTCTAGTTCAGTACATGAATGCTTGTTCTCATATAAATGGATTATTTCATTTGTTGATTTTGCCAGGTTGTTGTGATGATGCATAACTGGAGTTTTCTCTGGCAGGCACTGCTCTCTACAATGAGTTAGTTTTCTGCAACTTCAACTTTTCAACAACTAGATTAGCTTTCACCCTTTGTTTACATACGGCACGAAAGGAACAACATTAACATTCTGCGCAGATACGGCACGTGTTCTGCTTCTGCCGCCTTCATTTCATATCTGCAAAATTATACAAGAATGAATGAATTGTATTATTTACTCAAGGCAGATCAAGCTGTAGCTATCTCAGTTGGTACCTTTCATCTCTAACCTCACTTTTAGAAAATAAATGTGATTGACACAAGAGATACAGCAATACAAACAAACAGACAAGTTTACGGGCGATAGAGACGACAACACGACGTCATGTAATCAATAATCAATTCTACTTGTTATTTCTTGGATTCAGTCTCTACTGCAACTAATGCCCTTTCCTCCTCGTCCACCTCTAGTTTCGATTCTCCTGCATTATCGTTGTTATCTTCCTCCGTCGCAACAAGGTGCTGCCTGCGATATCTAACTATCACAAGGGACAAGAATGCTGCAACAATAAACAGACAGACACACATGTCAATCGAACTCTAATAATAACCATTGACATCCATCATCGTCTTTGTCTAAATAGTTTGCTCGGCATTACCTGCAAATATTCGCGTTCTGATGGACGTGAGATTCCAAAACGCCATTACAGCTGATGCAGCTACGATTTTCTTATGCGTGCAGCCTTCCCAAATATCCATAGCCCATTGTTTTAGATACTCGACTGCTCATTTCAAACAGAAAACGATAAAACAAGTGAAGACTTATTTGTTCTAATAGATGGATCACGACAATGTTGGGAGACTACTAATTTAAACAACCTTTCTTATCTAGTTGCGAAGAGTAAGTCGAATACAATTTTGGGGCAGTGAAGCTGATAAAGAAACCTGCAAAATTGAAGAGAAGAGTTAGTTAACAATTAGCTCTGTTTTCAAACTGGTTTGGAGTCTTGTAATAAATAATCTTTTGCCAATGTTGTTTACCAAGTGCACAGAGTCTCCACAATGTAATGCAATGGCCATACTCGGCTCCCAAAAGAAAGATCGGAATCACCTATATAAGAACACGGCAAGGCAAGGCAAGTTCATCGTATTAAAAAAACAACTCATGTTTGTTTGTTTAGAGACAAAAAAATCGATAAGGAACTGTACTTTAAGGGTCATGGCTGGCTCTCCTGAGAAGATTTCTCTTGTTTTCGAGATTGCTAGATTCGCAGCCGGAAGTATTAACCTGCCGAATCTCAGTATATCTTCTTCCTTCAGCTTAAACTGATCGGCCTTACTATTGCTCTTTCCCTCCCTGTGAACTCATCAAGAAATTAATGAGCTTAATCAAGATTACATAAAAAAAAAAAAAAAAAAAAACAAAGATTCATTTGAAAAGAAGTTACATTGCTAATCATACCTTTGTCGCATTGTATTGGAGAAGAACGACAACCCCAAGAACAGAAGTCCCACTTGAGACATGAATGAGAACATGCTGCAAGAATCATGTTTACTCATCATCTATTAAAATCGAAACCCCCAAGACAACCATTTAGAACTAAGGCTATCACAGCCTGTACTAATAAGACAACCATTTAGAACTAAGGCTATCACAGCCTGTACTAATTCGGATTTCGACCTTGTAGTTTGATAGACATGGACAGAACTTCTAACCTCCTATCGACTAAAGTGAACCGGTTTCAATAATTAAATCATACCTGTAATGAACTCCCTTTACGAAGCAAGATGACATGATCGAAAGCGATCCCAACCCAAACCATAGGCTGGATTTCGAGACATCTTTCCACATGATCAAATCGTGTATGGCCTCCCCGGTGGCGTTGAGATTGTACCCATCTCCACCACCTGTTCCGGATTTCGACAATGAGTAAAGAACAGGGTGAGTGCCAGTTTAATTGCAGGGTATGGAGATGGAATGCATATCTATACATACTTGGCGATGGAACTGGATGAGTCTGAATGGATTTACCAGTCCTCGACCTTTCGCTAGTTTTCTTCTTCCTCGGCTTAATCGAAACATCTCCCCCTGCAGCAGCAAGCTCTCTCTCTTCTCTGGCATCTTGCTCCAATCTTCTCCTTGATCTTCGACCTCCTCTTGGGGATGCAGCAGCAGCACAGCCGGATGCTGAATTCCTTGTCTTGCATCGTTTTCTAACTCCGGCGGTCTCAATGGCGGCGTCCTCCGCCATGTCGAGGAGGCGGGATTTGGATGACCTTTTGAGTGGTGAAGGGGAAGGGGAAGGGGAGAGGAGTAAGAGGTCTTGGAGAGGGAGAGAGTAAGGGGGCTTGGGCGAAACAGTGGATGCAGGGGATGGAGTAGAGATTTTTGGGGAAGACGACTGGACTATTTCGAGAGACAGCTGGGGGGTTGTGGGGGTTCCCGATCCCCCCTCCTCCTGGCTGTAATGGCGGAGCTTGGAGAGCCTCGAGGCGGACTTGGGCTGAGTCCGGTGGTGAGGAGTTGTCGTCGTTGTTGAGTCATCCATCTTTACGGATGCAGAATTGAAATTGAGGTTGAAGTGATGCAGAATTGCAGAATTGAAATTGAAATTGAAGTTAAAGTGATGCAGAATTGAAATTGAGATTGAAGTGATGCAGAATTGCAGAAGCTGATGAATGTTGAACTTGCAGGAAAGCTAGGGTTGCTTCTGCTTCTGCTTCTGCTTTAGTAAGAAGGGGAGAGGAGAGCCGTTGGGGGTGAATTATTATTATTTAAATATTTAACCATGGGGAATGTCGCTTCCTCTAACGGTCGGGAAGAAGAAAACGGGGTTAACATTCAAATTATTATGGGCTTTGGAGACCATATGCCTATCTTTTTTTTCTTTTCTACTACTTCTTTTTTTAATGTTTTTTTGTCTTACAAACTTTCAAGTATAATTATTAATTAATCATTCATTAGGACAAATTCCGTTACGTACACATGTAATCGTCTAGCGGAAGTATGTCACGTGCTACTGTGTATTGTACGTATTGTCAGTAGTAATATTTTATGCTGTATCTTTATTTCGTATTATTCAGCACAGTGTTGAATTTAAAATTCAAAATTGCTACCCGAAAGTATCCATTGAATAAACCTTCGGCCCAACCTGATATTCAACATTATTTATTCTTTATTTAAGCGGTGAAGAGAGACAAAATGTCTGTTAGGAAAAAGATAAAAAAAAAAAAAAAAAACATTCTTTTTATATCATACAAAATAAAAATATAGTATACATTCATAGACAGTAATTTCTAAAAAATGATAATTTGTATTTATAACATGTTACATCTCTCACGTTACAAGAAAAAGAACAACACACTATTTATATTATTATAATCCAAACGCGATATACAAACTAAATAAGATATGACATAATCCAATGCATATTAAATTGTTTCTTACGTAAAATATACACAGAACTAACAACAAATATTATAGAGTGTCATTTCATGCAAGAACCTAATATTAGGACTTAATCATGATAATATATCAGAAGGAATTATTCAATCGACAGACCAAACAAACATAAACATAGTATAGTAGAGCACAAATACACAACAGACAACATACGTTGGCTGCTTCTTCCTCCTCAAGCTCGGTTTCGTTTCATTCTTTCCTCATGCGCCTCTCGCAGAAAGCTTTGATTCTTTTAAAGCCATCATCGAGGGATGAAGGCTCCACTGCAAATGTCACCCGAAGCCAATTCTTCAGCCCAACAGCAATCCCTGCACGCATCATAGATTCTTTATTCAAAACATATATCGATCGACTTCAAATTCAATGTAATTATAAGAAGCAATGACAGCAAATGAAATTCCAAATACACTACCTGGGAGAACTATAACAGATTCCTCCTTAGCCAGCTCAGTGCAGAAGTGAATGTCATCCTTAATGCCATCCAAAAGGGACAGATCAAGTTTTACCTGACAATCAATAATACACATAAGATTCTGATTGTTTTACCTCTTCTTAGGTTATGTAATAATGTAATTGCACTCGTATTTACCATGCCAAACATCGATCCTTCAGGTTTGCTGGGGCAAGTAATGCATGGGATTTCCTTGCACCGATCATACAATATATTGGAACATTCTTTAAGTGTACTTTTAATTTTATCAAAGAAATCGTTTGGTGTATTTTCAAGAATTTGCGGAAGCGCTCCCTGTTCACATCAAACTTATAACAACACTCTGGCCAAAAAGATCAAAAGAAATAATATATATATATATATGTACCTGTAAAAAGGTCACCGGATCGGATGTAATATTCAGAAAGCCTTCGATACTAGCAACAATCTGCAGATGCACGGAATCATGTCAAATAGACATGTTTCATCGATTCTGATTCTGATTCTGAAGAAAGATAAACGAAAATGTCCTTAGAATACCCCATGGCTCTTAAGGATGCCATTTGGATCATTAGTGACGAGCCAACCGAGTCTCCAACCTGGAACGATCCATGACTTTGATAGAGATCCCAAAGTGACAACAGGAACAATCGATCCAAAAACACCCATTGGAACAAAAGGATTATTTCCAAAGCTAAGGTCACGATACACCTCATCAGAAATCACCAAGATTCCAAGCTTTCTTGCTGTCTCCGCAATCTACAGCCAACAATTATTCTTATACATTTCATTCCAACATTAAATTTAATTAATGTGATTACCTTCTTCAAGTGTTGGTACTTGAAAACATTTCCGCAGGGATTTCCCTCATTAATAATAACCATGGCAACTGTGTTTTCATCGGCTATAGCTTCGACTGCAGCCAGATCCACTTCCCAATCGTTCTCCGGAAGCAGATCAAAGTGACGAAACTCGAGATGACAAAACCTGGCCCTAGCTTCATAAGCAGGAAAGCCTGGGCGTGGAAGGAGAATGTTAGCATTGGGATGAGCTGCGAGGACTGTTATAATGGCTTCTAGGGCTTGTTTACAGCCCGAAGTCATGAAAACATCTTCAGGTGATAACTTGTATCGAAGATCTCTCGAAAGGTATTCCGCCACCGCTCTGCCAACAACAATAGCCAATCTCTATTAAAAGGAAATTAAACTAGAAGTAATTATTACAAATTAAGCAGATGGATCGTAGATAGATACGTACCTGCGAGCCGAGGGGATGCCGACGGTGGAGGAGTAGCCGTTGAGCTTGGCGGAGCGGACGGCGGCGCAGACAGCGTCCTCGGCGGCGGCGGCGGCGCGGAAAGAAGGGAAAGGGGAAGGGTCGCCGTGGCCCATAGGAATAACAGGGCGGGGACCATTTTTGTGGAGATTTTGCTGGAGCACGTTGAGGACGCCTCTAATGGTGATGTCGGAGGCCCGGTTCAGGTCCGGGTTTCCTTTGAACCGCCACGACTCCGCGGTGGCGGGCGAGTCCCCGTTCCTCGTCTCCATGGACAGCCACAGCAGGCGGCTGTTAGTGTTAGTATCGTAATTAATTAGTGTTTATCGATATCATCACCGGTTGTCACATTATTATTATTATTATAATTTATATCAAAACCTATAGCTCTTTTTACCTAGCACACTTCCACTCTCATTTGATGCTATTACTTTTTAAAATACATCACAACAAATATATATTTTTTTTTTTTCATAAAATATCAAATCAAATACTAATTTACAATACAATATAAGATAACAATAAATATTAGTACATACTATTTTTAAATTTAATCCAAACCTATATATATATATACACATGTGAGAAAAGCTATAGCGTTGAGTTTGAAAAATCTAGCACCATATAATACCCCTATAATATAAAAACAACACACGTTTTTATTATATACAATATGCATATGTTGTTAGTCCGTGTGAAACTATATCGTGTGTTATTAAATGATGTATTATATTTGTATTATATTAAAATATATTGTGTGTTGCGTACTGCCATATATATATATATATACCGAATGATTTCTCTTTGTAGGTAGCCAAACCACTGTCAATGAAAAAATTATGGAGTGTTTTTGTTAAAAAGACGTGAACATTGAATAATACGAAATTAAGAATGAATTAAAAAAAAAAAAAAAATGATGGATGTGTTCATTTAGTGTAAAATATATTTTTAAAAATATTAATATATTACAAATATTTATTACTTTTATATTATTTCAATAATTTTTTATACTCTACATAGAAAAAAAAAAAAAAAAATCTTTTTAAACTATTTAACTAAACAAACAAACTCTATAACCCTCAAATGGTTGAATTCCATTCCATTATTTTTTATAATTTTCTACAAAATTATTTTTATTGTTTCTTATAAAATTTTATATAAAAATAGTTCAAATATAAGAAGGGGTGTGTTTGTTTTGTATTTTAAAATAAAAATTATACTTAATCTGTTTCACATACTCTGCAATATTTTTCTATTTTTGTTATATTCCACATACTCTATAATATTTTTGTATTTTGTTATATCGTGCATACTATGCAATATTTTTAAAATAGGATATAACTGATTGCATTTTATTTTATCATATTATTCAAATAAAAAAATAAATATATATTTTTCTTCAATTACATCATCTAATTTTTATTTTATCCTATTTGAATCAAAATATTGCATACAAAATATACTACCTCTATTTCATAATAATATATCTATTTGTCTTTTGTGCTATTAATATTAAAAATATTATTATATTTCAAGAATATATTATACAATATAAAATTATATAATACTGATAAAGATATTTTTGTCAATTTTTTTATTTGTAATACGTATTAATGTACTTCCTCAGTTTCACATAAAGTGAATAGTATTTTTATTTTTATCCGTTCCACATAATTTGCTCTTTTTATTTTTGAAAAATAATTATATATTTTAAACACATTTTAAATTTGATAAATTATTATTGTTTAATTATTTAGTTATCTTAATTTTAATATATAATTACTTGTATTATAGTATAATTATTTTTACTAAAAATAACTTTTTAATTACTTACTAATTATAATTTTTCTAAATTTTTTGTATATAGTAATAATTAACATTTACAGATCTAAACGCAAAAAAAAAATAAATTGGTATCTTGTCAAGGAACGAGACGAGAAAAAGTATTCTCTCCGTCCATTAAAATTAATTCATTTGGATTCGATGCGGAGATTAGAATGAATATTTTATTAAAAAAATAAAAAATAATTGAAGATATATTTGAAAATTTAGTTAGAAATTAAAGTAAATAAAGATAAAGAATATAATAAAATTAGTACTATTTATTGTAAATAAGTGTTTAATAGAAAAAATAATAATTAAATATTAACTTGTTGACTTTTTACCAAAAATTACCAATGAGATAAATTTAATGGACCTAAAAAAAAAGTGAAAAAAATTTGACGAACTGATAAAATATTATTTTATTTTATAAAATATCAAATTAATATATTATTTAAACTAAAATTCAAATAAAAATTTCAATTTAAACCCAAACTAAACAAACCTTGGAATCCTAAAACAAACGTTAGAAGAACACAAATATTAAATGCTAATATTTAACAAATCATTGTTTAACTATTATTTTTCATTAAATATTTATTTACAATAAATATTATTAATTTTATTAAAAAAATTTAATTTAATTATAATTTCTAATTAAACTTTTAACAATATTATCAATTATTTTTTATTTTATTATTTTTTAATAAAATATTTATTTTTTTAATTTCATATCAAACTCAAATATTCTAAATTGTCAGAACCTAAAATATCCTATATTATCTTATAGGAAAGCATAAAAAATAAAGTAAAAAAAAAATACAAGTTCTTGTTTGAAAAAGTACATATATATATATATATATGTGTGTGAAAAAGTATAAACACAACTGAAGTTATGTCAAGTCAATATATATATATATATTTTTTCATTTAAACGTATTTTAATATTTAAACGTATTTTAATATTAAAATAAAAATTTAATATTTTTAAATAAAAGAACAAAAATAATAAAAAATAATAATATTTTGAATTGATACAAATTAAATATAATGCTACCGACAAAATCTAAAAGCATCAAAATTCGAACCAATGACTATCTTTGTAAATTTGATTTGCAAATTTGATTGTGTTTATTATTGGTGTGTAATTACGAATAAAGTAATCTACTTCATCCGTCCACAGCTTATTTATCTATTTATTTTTGCACGTAGATTTTTGTATATTAATATTATATTGATATGCAATACAATTGATATACATAAAGACTATTATACTCCTTAATATTTATGATATTAAAAGGTATTATTTGATGGCATTTGTATAATATTATATAAATAGTGCGGTAATTTTATATTTTAGTGGAAGATACATTTACTCAGAAAAAGAAATGGATACATTTAATATGAATAGACTAAAATGACAAAATAGATAGATTGACTGTGCATGGAGGGAGTATATAGTTTCTTCATCCGCCTCAAACTGTATATTTACATTTTGCGTCATTGTACTTAACATTAAAAATATTATTGTATTTGTATAATTTTTTTATATATACAAATATCTTTTTATTAATATTATAAAATACTAGTTGAAATATTTTTATATTTTTTTTCTTAATTTGTATTATATTTAATACTATTTAATAGGACCCATAATCGGACGGAGGTATGATTAACTAAAGGATCTATCCTCTGTGGCTGATTCTTAAAATGTAGGGGTCATGATGAACACTTTGTTTCTATCGAGCTGACTCTACTGCCATTAATTACAACAATACATACTTTAGATGTGCAAGGAAAGAAGCCGGGGGTCCTTTTTTTTATTTATTTATTATAAAGACCTAAAAATTTACGGTTGTTATTATTCAAATATATTTTAAATAAAATTTTAATCGAATCTAATTAAATAATTATTATATGGACTAGCATATAATTAATCCATTATAGGGGCCAATCCATAATTATGGTATTCAATTTGGTAGTTTTGGTTTGATTTTAAGACGGTTGGTTTTGGTTTAAACCACGAGTTTATAAATATTTACATATTTTTAAATTTTATATTTTTATTTCAATTTAATGGTTAGTTTTGCTTTCAAAATTAATGCTTATTTGTTACAAATTATATTAATATAGTTCAAATTTATGAAATAATGATTTAAATATTATAAAATAATCACTTTCTTGTTTATTAATAATAATATTATTATTTTATTAAAAAAGTAATATAAAACTATTTAAATTAAAAATAATTTTAAAAAATTAAAAAATTACCCTAGTTCTAGCCCTACAACTGCCCCGTTCAGTCCAAAAATACACCCAGTCCTCTACACACACTTTATATATATAATCTTTTTTCTTCTTATTTACTCTTTCCATTTTTTTTTTTAAATTTACGTAATTAGCAAAATTAATAAATAAACATTTTAATATTATTAAAAAATATCATTATTTTTATTATATTTATCCCAAAACATCGTAATAATAAGCTGCCAATATATTAAATGCCGTTTATACCATGCACTCAGGACAGTGGACTTGAACTCGATACTCAGCTAGATTTTGGTGTCATGTCGGATGCTAAATGACCGTTTCATTTAAAAGTTCGAACTGATAGAAAAACTTAGTCATTAATTATATATATTCGCAGACAGAAGTCTCATCACTTATTTTATAGTCTAAAAACCATACAATTAATTATATTACACTCGTTCTCACAATTTATTTTCATTGTTTCGTCATAAAGCATTAATTCTTTTCAAGCCGTCATCGAGAGATGAAAGCTCTATTGCAAACAGCACCCGAAGCCATATTTTCAATGTTTCCTCATGCGCCTCTCACAGAAAGCTTTGATTCTTTTAAAGCCATCATCGAGGGATGAAGGCTCCACTGCAAATGTCACCCGAAGCCAATTCTTCAGCCCAACAGCAATCCCTGCACGCATCATAGATTCTTTATTCAAAACATATATCGATCTGACTTCAAATTCAATGTAATTATAAGAAGCAATGACAGCAAATGAAATTCCAAATACACTACCTGGGAGAACTATAACAGATTCCTCCTCAGCCAGCTCAGTGCAGAAGTGAATGTCATCCTTAATGCCATCCAAAAGGGACAGATCAAGTTTTACCTGACAATCAATAATACACATAAGATTCTGATTGTTTTACCTCTTCTTAGGTTATGTGATAATGTAATTGCACTCGTATTTACCATGGCAAACATCGATCCTTCAGGTTTGCTGGGGCAAGTAATGCATGGGATTTCCTTGCACCGATCATACAATATATTGGAACATTCTTTAAGTGTGCTTTTAATTCCCTCAAAGAAATCGTTTGGTGTATTTTCAAGAATTTGCGGAAGCGCTCCCTGTTCGCATCAAAGTTATAAGAACACTCTGGCCAAAAAGATCAAAAGAAATAATATATATATATATGTACCTGTAAAAAGGTCACCGGATCGGATGTAATATTCAGAAAGCCTTCGATACTAGCAACAATCTGCAGATTCACGAAATCATGTCAAAGAGAGTCCATGCAATTCAACTTATTTTAAGAAGGAAAATGTAGATTCAGAAAAAAACCCAAATCTACAGACAAGATCATGAAGTACGTTATCATTCTCTTATCTACCCTGCTGCAAAATAAACATCATGGTAGGCAAATAATTGACACACAGTACCGATCAAGGATGAGTAAAAACCAACGGAAGTTCAACAAAAATTATTACCATAGTATTGAAACAAAAATATATGTGAAGACCGAGTGGAAAACTCAACAATTGGACATAAAACATTGCATTTATGATTTTGATAAGAAAGTAAACATTGTCATGGATCAAATATATTATCAGCATGCAACAATTCTAAACAAAGACAAACAGAAAGGTCTTCAGAATACCCCATGCTTCTTAAGGATGCCATTTGGATCAGTAGTGACGAGCCAACCAAGTCTCCAACCAGGAACGATCCATCTCTTTGATATCGATCCCAGAGTAACAACAGGAACAATTGACCCAAAGACACCCATTGGAACAAAAGGATTATCTCCGAAGCTAAGGTGATGATACACCTCATCAGAAATCACTAAGATTCCAAGCTTTCTTGCTGTCTCCGCAATCTGGAAATCAGTCATTAGCTATCACAGCATACAATTATTCTTAAACATTTCATCCGACGTTAAATCTAATACAATTACCTTCTTCAAGTGTTGGTACTTGAAAACATTTCCGCAGGGATTTCCCTCATTGATAATAGCAATGGCAACAGTATTTTCATCGGCTATAGCTTCAACTGCAGCCAGATCCACTTCCCAATCCTTCTCCGGGAGCAGATCAAAGTGTCGGAATTCAAGTTGAGAAAACCCTGCCCTGGCTTCATAGTAAGGAAAGCCTGGCCGTGGGAGGAGAATGTTAGCATTGGGGTGAGCAAGGACTGTTATAATGGCTTCCAAGGCTTGGGTACAGCCGGAAGTCATGAAAACATCGTCAGGTGATAACTTGTATGGAAGATCTTTCGAAAGGTACTCTGCCACCGCTCTGCCAAGAGCAATAATCAATCTTTATTAAAAGGAGAAGTTGAAAGAATTGTTACAAAACAGATGGATAGATAGATATCTCAAGCACAACAAACTCATGTTCATCAAAACAGCGAAACAAATGCTGGAAAGTCAAATTCCTGTCATGATTAATGCTTTGTTTGCAAATGTTAAGCCAATTGCAGTGCCCCACAGTTGAAGAGCGAAATCAGGTTTATGGACTAGTGCAACGTACCTGCGAGCCGAGGGGATGCCGACGGTGGAGGAGTAGCCGTTGAGCTTAGCGGAGCGGACGGCGGCGCAGACAGCATCCTCGGCAACGGCGGCGGTGCGAAAAGAAGGGAAAGGGGAAGGGTCGCCGTGGCCCATAGGAATAACAGGGCGGGGATCATTTCTGTCGAGATTTTCCCGGAGCACGTTGAGCACGCCTCTGACGGTGAGGTCCGAGGCCAGGTTCAGGTCCGGGTTTCCTTTGAACCGCCATGACTTGGCGTCGAGCGACTCCCCGTTCCTCATCTCCGTCTCCGTCTCCGTCTCCATTGACAGCTCTCCTCCTCCGCTCTCTATCGTTGCCGTTTGAACTCAAATGTTGGGAGAGAGTAGTGGTGATCGATTAAATAGGGCCGTCATGAAACCCTAATTCCCAATTAGTGTTCTTCATCACCGGTTGTCGTATCGTAACAAATTATTATAGTTTATCACAAAAGAATGCATGATGACAGCAACAACACGTCGGGTTGGTTCACCATACACGACATTGTGGAGTATAATATACTATAAACATACAATACAGGACAAGTAATACAGTATTATATTGATTCCAATGCAGTGATGATGGCGAGCGAAGAAGGACAAGACTACGGACGTTGATACGGACACAGTGATTTCTATGTTTAGGTAGCCGATGCCGAACCCACTTTCAATAAAAAATAACTACTCTATATAATATTAAAAAATAAAAACTAATACAAATTTTTACTTTAAAAAATACTTTTTATGATTAACAAATAAAAAATAAATATTTTTTCTATGCGATCGGATACCAGTAACTAGGAGTGTTAAAATTAAACTCGATCTGATATTTTTTAGGTTCGAATTTGGGTATTTTGAATTTGAAAAATATTGGGTCCATCCGAACCTGAGATGAAAAAGAAAAAAATTAGTATCCTATTCAAGTTGGTTTCAAGTTGAACTAAAATTAAAAACAATGAATTTTTTAAAGTGAATTTAATTTTTTTAAAAAAATTGGGTCTCTTTTGTGTAAGGTTTGTTTGGGTTTCAAGTGATCTAAAACTAAATTAGGTAAATCTGAATCAGACCTAAAAGAATTCGTGTCGTGTTCGAGCATAGGGTATCGAGTCAAATTTCGTGTTCGAGTTGACAGTTTTTCTATTATCCATATGGCTCAACCCAACACGAACACCAACGAAAATACGAATTGACACCCCTAACAATAACTAGTTTTTTTTTTTTTTTTAATATAAATAAAAATATTTGTTTATTGAAATATATTTTATTTTATTTATTATTATTATTTATTGTCTACTTGCAAGAGTGAAATTGTCTTATTTAATAAATTGGTAGTTATTGTACATTACAAATATTCTTTCACACACATATCCTATTTTATTATCAAGAAACCCAAAGGTAGATTATATGTCTACATAAAATAACACATTATTATCAAACTATTAGTATTTTTTTAATATTAACAGTAAAACAAATGCAACTCTTGCAAATAGATTGAAATAAATATATATTTTATTGAAAAATCATGACTATTAAATAGGTTTTTAAAAAAGAATAGAAAAAAAAAAAAAAAAAAACTCTAAAAGTTTTGTTTATTTGGTTTTATTTAAAATTGAGTTTGACGATTAAGTATTAATTTATATTTTATGAAAATAATACTTTTTCTTATACTCAAATATTTAGATATAAATTTAAATAAAAGTAAATAATAATTACTCGTTTATTTTTTATATTTTATAGTAAAATCTATATATATATATATAAATAATAATGTATTTTCGCTTAAAAAACAAAGAAATGACATAGTCGTCAAATAATTGCCAATTGCAGATAAACAAAGGAATATGAAAACACAGATGAGAGAAATATTTTCATCTTACTTGGAAAATAAAAATAAAAATGTCTATTCCAACTTTAAATGGCTAACAAATTAGGTCCACTTATTGAGGCGGAAAAAAATATAAATGCAGATGAACATACATACGATAGACCTCTCAAAATGGGTTACCGGGGCGCGGATTGATTCATAATCCACTATAATCCGCAAATGAGCGGGTTGTGTGCGGGTTAATCTGCAACAAGATGGATCAAAATTTCATCAATCTAATTCAATCCACCGGCGGGTAGCGAGTGAAGCGTACTAGCCCACAGACTTTTTTAAAATATTAATATTATAAATATTTTCGTAAGTAATATTTAAAAATAACTAAATAAGAGTTTTATTATAGAATTTAAATAATAAATATTTTAAAAAATTAATAATAAGAAATATTTTACACATAAATCATAATTAATTTTATGAATATAAAAATAAAAGTAACGTGTAGATAATATTGATTAATTTATTTAAGCTAATTTTATTCGTCTTAACTGAAAATATATCTTTTCAATAGATTAAAAATAATAATATGTTATTTATTAAATAAAATGTACAAGATGATTTTGATATTTTTTTCTCTTTGTATGTTATTTATAAATTAATTGTATTTATAATGATATATTTGTAATTCATATAAAATTAAAATATATTATGATATTAATAATAATTACTTTTATTATAATTTTTTAATGTGACAGTAAAAAATGATAAAAAAAAAAATACATTTAGTTGATACGGGTAAGTACTAATTATATTTACTTGGTCCGCAGGCTAATTCACTCTCAACCCACGGCTCATGTGGGTTGACCCGTTTAAGTCCGTATTTTAACGGGTTTAAAAAATCACAACCCAACCCTCCTAAAAAGTGAGGCGAGGCGGGCCAACCCGACAAACTCGGCCCATTTTGACGGCTCTAATTCGATAGACAAGATTTGGTATATCTATATTTGGGGTTTGGTATATCTGCATTTGGGGGCGAAATCAAATATTTGGGTTAATATATATTACTCACTCTGTCGGGATATAGTGCATACTTAGTATAGACATAGAAATTTAAATAAAATATAATTAGTAAATAATTAAAAATGTATTAATAAAAATAATTATAGATAATTAAGATAACTAATTAATATAATTAAAAATTTTAAAATTATAAATTAAAATTTTAAAATATAATTAAAATGTGCAGTGTTTTTCCAAAATAAAAAAATAACATAATATATGAAACATACCAAAATAAATAAAATATGACGTATGAACAAAGTAATACACAAATTTATTTGGATATATCACACTAGCACACTTGTGTTGGTCTCTAATTCATAGATTCCCATAGTAATACCTCTTATCTTAATGTTATGGGTGTATTAGTGCACCCTACTAACTGTCATAAGCTAGTTAGGGTACTGATTGAATTAATATGCACAGTTGATTACATATATTTTATAAGGATAATTTAGTAATATTACGTGCATTTAAGATTATTTAGCGTTAAATGAATATTAATTATATGATTTTATATTTATATAATCTGCCGTTTGAATATAAATTATGTGCTATTTGTATATAAATATAAAAATATCTAAATATTTCTAAGTTATTTTTACCATATAGTGCTAAAATGAACGTTAACTATGTGATATTTGTATTTGTATATCATTTATTTGAATATAAACTATGTGCTATTTGTATATAAGTATAAAATTGTCCAAATATAATGCTAAATAAACGTTAACTATGTGATTTTGCATATATATATATATGACCTGTTATTTGAATATAAATTATGAGCTACGAATATATTCTCAATTATTATTGCTATATAATGCTACATGAACGTTAATTATGTGATTTTGCATTTATATGACATGCTATTTGAGTATAAAATACTATATACTATTTGTACATAAGTATAAAATTGTCTAAATATATTCGAAGTTATTATCAGCGTATAATGCTAAATGAACGTTAACTATGTAATGTTTGTATTTATATAGCTTGCTATTTATATAAATTATGTGTTATTTATATATAAATATAAGACTGTCCAAATACATTCTAAGTTATTTATACAATATAGTGTTTAACAAATATTAATTATGTGATATTTGTATTTATATGACATGTTGTTTGAATATGATTTTGTGTTATATAAAACTGTCTAAATATTCTAAGTTATTTACTAAGCAACTCTGAATGTATACTAACTATGTAATATTTGTGTTTATATATATATTGCTAAATATTTTCTCTGTCCCACTCTAAAAATTACATTTACTTTTTGTGTGATGATATTTAAATATAATATAAAAACAAATTATACAAATATAAAGGTATTTTTAATGTTAATACAATGACACAAAAACTAAATGTAATCATCGGAAACAGTCGATATACTATTTGTATGTATATGTATGTAATATTAATAATTTTATCAGTGCATATAAAAATGTGTTATTCTATCATAGTGTGTATTAAGTGTTATTTTCGTATATAAAAATAAATAATACTTGTATTAAATTTGATTAAATTGATATTTTTTTTATTAATTTTATAATTTGAATGAAAATTGATTAATAATTAAAAAAAATAACAATAAAAGAGAAGAAACGTATCAGATGAAATATAAAAATCGAAGAAACTCTGTTAATTCTATTCGTAAAAATACAAAACAGAACATAGAGCAAGAAGGTGGAAAACAACACTAATGGAAGAAGAAAAAAGGAAAAAAATAAAATGACAATTTTACCCATAATATTATAATGACTATTGAATTAAAAATTAATCAACGTATTCAATTAATTGATTGTAATCGACACGGTCTTCAATATATATATATATATATATAACACATTTTGTACTTTTTGCCTATTGGTTCATACCAAACAAATATATATATATATTTTTAAAAAAAAATTGAATATTTAGTTTTTAATTTTCTGTAATGAGAATTTGAAATTTTTGTTCTTGCTATTTTACTTTTATACAAAATATTTTGTACATTGAGAGCACATAAGCATATTTGATTGGTTTGTTTTTAAAAAATTTTATTTAAATTTTGATTTAATGCGATATTTTATTATTAATTTGTTTGAATAAAAAATTATTTTTATTAAAACAATTTCATAATAAAAAAATTGAGTTGAATTACAAAACAAATAAAGTGACTTTTTACTAATTTAAGGAATTAACATTATTTAATAATAATAATAATAATAATTTATTAAAAACACTACTTAACAAAAAAACCTAAATAATGCAACAGTTAAATGAATAGAACGTTTAGTTTTTCCAAAGGCCTTACCTACTAGGGAGACATCTTATAGCATTTTAGCTACAGATGCTTTCCTTCAACATCAAACATCAGAAACCTTTTCCTAATTCGGCTGTGCATGCATTTTCAACTCAAATAATAATACTAGTAATCATAGATGTGCATATGGAAACCTATTATTTACCTCATAAATTCATAATTGAACTCGAGGCGTTTCGAAATTCTCTTCTGAGGTCGCACCATCTTCTCCGGCATTTCCCACTCCCATGGGTCCTTGGCTTTTCTCAAAGAAAAATTCGATTTTCTACACAATAACAATAATTGAGAGATTAAAATGTTGTTGGAAGACTATATAATATGTAATTAATAATACAATTTTTAACGGCTTAAACCTTTAGGTGATATAGTAATTTAACAAATGCAGGCAAGTTAATTTAAACGAAATACACAACAGTAAATGTACATATAATCTCCTCAAAAACTTCCATTTGATTGTGTTATTAATTCTCATATTCAGGGTTGCACTGAGTAGTCTTATTCAAAAACATTCATGTTATTGGTTTTGATTCTAATTTAATTAGAAATTGAAAGCAATATATATATATATATATATACATACATTTGATTCAAATAAGGCGACTTAAAGAAAAGGAAAGTACCTTGATGGACTTGTTAACTTCTTCAAGTTTGTGAAGCATCAAATCAGCAGGCATGGCTCCTCTAGGTTCATCGAAAGCAGTGTGAGGAGAACCTAGTTTCTGCAATATAAACAAAGTTATTAAGCGACATACATAACTTTTCCGATGTAAAAATATAAGCAATGGAGCAAAGTTTCCGCTGATTGTTTATAGAATCCAACAACTAAGATAATACAACATTTCAAGCAGGGGTGTGCGAATTCGGAAATCACCATGCATATTTGAAACAGTAAATCAGTCACGTAATTGGCAAACTCATACTTTTGAAGACATGGTGGGTTTGTTCTTAAGTACAAATTCAATATGAACTCAGTATTGGTGAATTTGAGTTCATTTGGGTAATTCATAATTCATGATTCAATATGGCAATTTTACTTTCCAACCAATATTAATAATATATCGTATAAATTTACGTAAACAAGAACTAATATAAAAACATTTAAATCATAGTGCTTAAACTAACCAAACTCAATCAAATAATCTTAAATAGCATAGCAAATCTTGTGAATTTGGCTATTGAGGACATTACCAGATTCAATACCAAATTCCTATTCCAAGCACATGTTATTTTCTTCATCAATTTGAAATTGAATTTAGTTTGCCTAAAGACCAGCACAAAAACTAATTACTGATTCAACTCTACCAAATTACAAATTTCAAACTCATCATTCCTGTAAATTCCAAGAATGGCTTATAGAAGAATGAGGGTATCATTTTGAAACAAGGTCATGATGATGACTTTACCTTCCAGCTTTTATGAGGTGTAGGTGACCTCAAAACTGCAGGGCCCAGTGTCAATGATTCCATTCGGGACATGCTTTCACCTCCAGAAATATGAAAGCTTGGGTTCCAAATCTTAGTAGACTCTAATGTAGCCTTTGAAGCATGTGTGACTATAACCTTCATATTGAAACCCTTGTCATTAATTTAAACATCTTCAAATACCACAGTAGAGTTGATGGTAACATAGCCCTCCTGATTTCACTAGAAGACCATATTTCAATTTAACCACATTAGTAAACTGTTTTCCTAATTTTGGTCCCACAATTTATATCAATTATCAAGCTGAGTATCACAAAATTTTGTAGTCAGCAGTAATGATTATTGCAAGGGCGTTTAGTTCTAGCACTAGCTGTTCTTTTTTACTACCAAAAATAGAAATATATATCCATATATAAATAAATAAATAAATATGAATTGAAATAATAAAAATTTGGGAAAACAAATTTTAGTATAAAATGTGAGATCAATATAAAAAGTTATTAAGTAATGGAAGCATACTCTGTGTAATCAAAGGAGCAATAAATCAGCAAAACAAAAGCCAGACAAGTAGTAACCTTTCGCAAAAGCCAAGGGTTGCTAACTCCTTGAACATGTAATTCATCAACAGGTGCTGCTTTTCTGTGTGCAATACTTTCCACTCTAAAGGTGTGTAAGCCATATACAGACTGCAAGCAACCTGTGTGCACAATATTTTAGGCACGGAAAACAACATGAAAGTGAAACAGACTCCAAGTACAAATCTGGAATTGAATCACTTGAAATGATTACATTAACTTTTCGTTTCCACAAATGAACAGCAACGTAAAAATTGAATGATATATCACTAAGGTTCATGGCTGTTCAAGGACACTCAACAAAAAGGACAAATGCAAGAAAGCACAAATTTTCCTATAAAATAAGACAGAGAAAGAAAATGTAAAAGACTAAAGACACCTTACAATCATCAAAGAAGTAATGCAAGAAACCTATGTTCGGATCAGGAATTATGGAAAGTATATAAAGGTATCAGACATATGCAATGCCCTCCAAACAAACTTAATAACAAGCCACTCAATCCCACAAGCAAGTTTGGATACACCTATGTCCACTTGTGCTATTCGATCTCATTCATTGTGCCAACATGGAGTATTTTCAAATAAAAATGTATTCAGACAAAAAATTAAAGGACAAACAATAAAGAAATGAATGGATTTAAGTTTTTTAATGTACCTTGCTCAATTATAATGTCTATTATAAGGTACAGAGGTACATGCTTCTGGATTTTGATTTCACCAAGGAATGGTATAAATGAAGGCCTAGTGACCTAAGAAAAAAAAAGAAGATAAAAATCAGCATTTCTCACTCAAAGTGCTAATAGCATGACAAGAACATAAACCAAACCTGATACACTATTTCTTTTGATGTAATATAGAGTTTCCGAGATTCAATATCTTTTTGAAGCACATATCTTCTATAGGGCAAATAAAGCAGCATAATTATCCCAATTCCCCATGCCAACACTAATAGGAGAGATATCAAGACCCATATTATCATGTTGTACTGAACATTTTTTGAGGCAAGTTCTTCAAATGAAGCTGTGTGTAGTACTTCCAAGCGATCATCAACTTCTTCACCATCATCTAATCTGTAGGCAGGATAAGAAGGCAGCAAGTTCTTTTCTGACCCAAGCTTTGCGAATCCGTCAGCATGACCCATTCCTATCATAGTAACACAAAGAAATAAAATAGGAAGATGAATCCAAATGGTTAGGCTGTGAATGAACCGTCCTATAGATCAAATTCAAACAGCTCAAATTATAAAACTAACAGTGAGAATTCAAGACCTTTATCAGACAAGGACTGGAGGTATCATATATACTTTAGTTTAAGAGCAATATAGGTATTTGATTGCCGAAGACATAGAATTTATTGAGAATCTAATCAATGTCAAATTGATTACTTCTCTTGTGTATAATTCCAATAACCTGTATGGCGATTCACCATGTTTGAATGCATTTCCACATCCAAGAATAAACTCTGAACACAAAATTCGTAAAAGATATGTCCTATAAATAATTATTGCAAACTTTCAGTTCTCCTCCTCTCTGTGCCACTTTTAATACAAACCAGTAAGCCTCTGTTATATATATATATATATATATATCTTCACATTGGAGTATCTATCTATTCATTTCCTGTGATATAGACACAAAATTATTGCAATGTCACATTGCTTCTATCTTGTTTAGTATTTTAGCCCATCCTTCTCAAAAATTTCACTTCAACCGTCCAATATTTTATATTAGCCAAACCATCCAATCCATAGAGCTATTTTTTCAATGTTAAGACAGATTTACAATACACACAGCCACATATATATATATATATATATAGAGAGAGAGAGAGAGAGAGAGAGAGAGCAACTCTAATTCAATACTCTTCAATATGCACTCATTTAAACAAAGACTAAATTAAATGTATCGTTCCCTTTTCATTTCATTACTGATTAATTCATTAAAAACCAAACACACTTTCATTCACTAGAAACTTACAACCCAAAAAAATTAAAAAAGAAGGAATAAAAAGATTACTCTTCCTTTTTTAAAGAAACTTTGTGAACAAATCCAATAATGTTGCCACAAATTACGAAGATGATAATTTGGTGGGGGAGTAGTAAATTGCCTGCTGCTGACTGTAGAGCTCAGTAACAACGCCTTGCAGCTTTTAATGAACAAATCACAATCCAATAAAGTTGCCACAAATCATATTTAACCGCAACACAAACGCTCAATTCGTCGTCGATTCGTTCACGTAGCAACACAAGCAACACAATAGAGGGGGGGTTCGTTTCACCTGAGACCTTCCTCGAGTGGCTGAAAAAGGGAATTTAATTCGAACCGTTTGGTCATCAAGGTGGCGCTTCCTAAGGCTTCCTTCTTTCCTTATCCGCTAGCGATGCCACCAGAAAAACCAAAATCCAAAACTAGGAGGGAGAGATGTGCTAGTGCCATAGATCGGGCGAAAACCACCATAAATTGGGTCGAACTGCAATCATAATTGGATTGGACCTCGAAGAAGCAGACTAGACTAATTTGATTTCCTCAATCGAGAAACTATCTGGAAGGATCTTCATGGGCTATAGAATTTATTTTGATTATCTCATGACAAAATGGGATAATTATGCCTTGCGTATAAAAATAATATAGTAATAATATTTTAGTATAAAAATTAAGATAGATAAAAATAAAATATAAATATTATGAAATTTTTCTGAAGTAGCGATAAAAAAAAAAAATACTAGAAGTATGGATGAATGATATAAAAAATTACTAAGATAAATAAAAAAAAAAGTATTAGTAAAATCGTCTATTATTTATTAAAATAACAATACTAAAATTATGGATGAATGAAATTTTTTTTATTAAAATGTATATATATAAATTTAGCCAATTAAAAAAAAAAAAAAATCTAGCCGAGAGTATTATTTTTAATTAAAAATTGATATAAAAATACTTTTAAAATTAAAATTTAAATTTAAATAAAAAATCAAATCAAAAATACAAACCATTTAATATTTCTTCGTGTACTGTCTACTTAAAATTTTACAAGTTATAATATATTACACAAATATCATATTTTTACATTAGACTTTACTAATATGATTATTTTTATCCTTTCTTTTTATTATTTATATTGTATTTTAAAATATATCAATTGAAACCCGAAATTAATGGACTAATCCCTTTAATTTGCTTAATATCATGAATCGTCTTTAGTATTATAGAAGTGGTAAATTCATTATTAAGATAACTTAGATATCCATTATAGTGATTTTCTCGCTCATTTATGCTTTAAAATAAATTTAAGTTCATTATTTTTTGAGTGACATTACTCGATTTTTCAATGAGAATATATAAATGTAGAAAACACATACATTCATATGTACATTGATTAAGTACAATTGATTATAATTAGTATACGATCCTATTTATGTATTGCTTCCATATATACGTTCTATGAATTAAATAGTCGTTATAATTATATAGTTTCTTTATATCTTTCACCCGAATAGATATAGGGTATTTTTCAACACCGTGTTAAATTCAGTTTGGACCATTAGATTTTGACTATTTTTAAGATAATGATAAGTTGAGTAGATAGTGGCGATGGCGGTGGCGGCGGTGATGCTTGGTCTGGTGGTAGAGTTGGCGGCGGAAAATTGTTAGGTCTATAGTCTGCTAGGGATGTGGTCAAAATGTTATAAATCGATTTACAAGTTCAATTATAGCGTCTTGATTTCTAATGGTAATACATCATGTGTTCATATATATATATATCATTGGCTAATACACGGCCAATTATTGTTTGGATAGAAACTCTTTCTAGTACTATCCCATTTTGAAGACTCATAGAAATAATATAGACGGTGTCATAATCTATTTGACGTACAATCTATTGAACTACTTCAACAAGTTATTAAACACCGGATTGCGATCTTTCACACCTAAAATATTTTTGTCTTAACGGAGAATTTTTGTCGGTTCACTTTAATTAATACTCCTTTTAATAATATGTTTGTTTGTATATAATTAATTTGTTTTAATCATATGTATTGATTAAATTTGATTTAATGAATCCATTTTCACAAATATACTTGCCACACCAACAGCCAACTCCTTTTAAATTATTATTATTATTATTATTATTATTATTATTATTATTATTATTATTATTATTATTGATTTTAATTTAGATGATTTTTTTTGTCTTTAAAAAATACCATATTATACCATGCCTTAGCATTCAACTACCACAGTCAAAACTTAATTACATAGTAACAATAATATAATCACCCTTTTTTTGTTACTATATATAAATTTCTTCAATCCCTCATAAATTACTTACCCTCACCATTATTATCCTCTTGACATATATTTTTTTATTTATTGCAGTTACCCAATTATAAGATGTCTATTACTAAATATTATTACATATACTTAAAATCAAATTGTAAGAATTTAATTTCTACAGTCATGATATTGTAATACTCACAGTTTACCATTTATTATTATTATTATTATTATTATTATTGCAAACTGTAAGGCAGCGGATAGAGCAGACAGGTCGATTAGGAACCAGTGCAACAGCTCTCTGAATATATATATATATATACACAGATATGACTCTATCTATATCTATATCTGTTCAGGTTGAGACAGGAAGAGAAAGATACGAAAAGAAGCAGGAAATGGAAGAAGTACCAATGGATAATTTGTCAGTTCTCCCCGACGCACTTATTCTGCACATCTTCACCTTTCTCCCCTTCCGCGACGCTGTCAGAACGTCTGTTCTTTCTACGAGATGGCGCTACCTCTGGCAGGCCACCACCAATGTCGACCTCAACCACAGATTCTTCCCTGATCTCACATCCATGTCTGATTTTATCCAGCGCTGGATGCAAATCTATCGGGAGCCACAACTGGAGAGGTTCTGCCTCGCCATCTCCAACCCTCCTGCAATCGTTCGTCCCCTAATTCACCAATGCCTCAGATTCGCACTCGACAGATCAGTAAAAGCCATGGAGATTGATTTCTCCAACCCTGATTTTGAGAACGACGATGATAACCTCGACGTCGTTGGTGCTAATGTAATCCCCCCTCAACGTCGTCGTCGGCCTTTCACTGTGAGCCTTGATTCAAGAACAGTGCTGCCGGAAACCCTAGGATTGTCTGCCTGTGATCTGAGTTTTGAAGATTCTAATTCCGTTTCCAATCCTTACTTTGGGGTTAAGAATTTGTTTCTTGGGTGGATGGAAATGCCGGGCAACTCGATCATGAGATTTCTGGCACTGTCCCCGAATCTGGAAACCCTAATTCTGAAGGGATGCTGGGATGTGGGAAATCTGGAGATTGATTCAGGGACTCTCAAGGTTTTGGTTATGGAGAAATGTCGAGGCCTCGAATCCTTCTCTGTAAGCTCCCCCAAGTTGGAATTCTTGAATTACAGCACACGGCTGCCGCAAGCTCATCTGCAGATCGAAAATGTCCCCAGTGTGAGGGAGGTAGTTTTGGATTTAGGGTTTCAGCAATGGAGGAATGACGATGAACACACTCATTCCATTATGCTTTTCGATCTGCTTGCACAAGACTGGGCTGTTCAGGCCCTCACCATCTGCAGTTACACTCTTCAGGTAATTTATTATATTTACTATTATCATAATCATATGATGATTTGAAATTGAATTGAAATCGATGAATCAGGCGCTGCCATTGGTGGGGAACTTGGTGCTGCTTAAGCCAAGCTTGGGAAGAACAACACACCTGTGTTTGAGAACACAGCTGCACGCCCAAGAGTATTATGGAATTACATTTTTCCTTAACATGTGCTCCAAATTGGATCTTCTTTCCATTCATTTAACCCAAACCAAGATTTTTGAGGTAATTTAGGAAGAAGATACGAACATGTGCATGCAGCAGCAGTAACTACTGAAATTGATGATTGAATTTGCAGGATTACAGGTGGCCATATCGTGTGGAGGATCATCCTTTTGCGAGTGGTTTATGGCATCCTTCGTGTTTCGACAAAACGTTGAGGACAGTGGAGATCAAAGGGTTTAAAGGATCTACCAATGAGATGGTGGTGCTGAGATACATTCTCAGATTTGGGAAAGTGTTGCAGAATTTAGTCATCCAAGCTACCAGAGAGGATGATGGAATGGGGGAGGAGACCTCACGTGCACGTGCTCGTGCACGTGACAGAATCAGGAGGCTGTTGCAGTATGAGGTTATTGCATCTCCTGTTTTAAAAGTGCACGTAAGGTAAGGGTATTGTGGTAGGGAAGAAGACCCAAACAGATAAACATGTCACATCAAATATAACTTTAGGAATTCATGAATTTGATTTTTCAGATTTGTGATGTTTGCTATCGCCGTGTTACTTTTAAATATGGGAAAAAAAAATGTTATAATTTATAATTACATGTGTAATATTTTCAATTGGTCTAATTTGACAAGTTTGAAGTGGTCCGATTTGAAAAAAAATTATGCGGGAGAAGCAATATTTATGGTAGTCACTTTCATAAGTTAGTTCATGATTTAGTAAACTTTTTTTTCTTTATATCTATTTAATAAATCCATTTTCATATTTCATACTTACACATCGAACTCTTCAATAAAATTTAATAAAGAAGGCTCATTTATATTTGTCGTGTACGCGTTAATTAATTTTTTTCTGATTCATACTTTAATGATCGAGAAATACGTATATTGTAAGCTCGCCGGATGACACATATGATGACCAATTGCCAAACACATACTTATATGGGATCAGATCACGAGCATATACATATTCATCAATGAATGATATATGTATGTTTGATCAATTTGAAAATAGTAATTACAATGATATTTTTTTCTATGAATAAGATTTAAATTATTATAAAGATTACCGTGTATAGAATCTAAAGTGTTAATAGTGTATCTTAAAAACTCTGGGAATTCATTCTAAAAAAATATATATATATATTTATCTAATAACTTTATTTATTTGTCTTTATATATTATCTATCAATAAAGTAATATTTCGAAATATAATAAAATATTAAAAAAGTATTTTTTTACTAAAAAATTAAAAAAATTTATTTTTATCTATTTCTCTTAAAATTCATGTTCGATCAAATAAACACACAATTGAATGATGGAGGGAATATAATTTTTAAAATGTGGTATAAGATGTAAGTTAAGGTGTTGATTAGTACTGTAGTCAGTATATGAAATATAAGTCACAACACATACACAAACACAATTATATTTTATATATGAGTAAGGATTTGTTCATTCCCATAGCATTATCATGACACTCCCTTCGTCCCAAAACTATAATTTTGATTATGTTTGACACAAGATTTAAGGAATATTGATATTACATTGTGGTAAAAAAATATAGGTAAAAAATGTTTTTGTATTAGTGTAAAAAGCAGTGACAAACAATTGTTTAATAAAGTAGTTTTATAGTGATATGATTATTTATGGAAATGAGATTATTGTTTTGAAACGGAGAAAATGATAAATAGAATTATTGTATTGAAATAGAGGAAGAACATTTTTTTGTTATCGCAACATATAAATTGTTCTTTCTGTATTTTTTTTTTTTTTTTTTTTTTTACGTAATATAAAATACACAAATATTTTTAATAGTAGATATTTATCAATCAATATATAATATAAAATAACAAAATAACAATAAGTTGAATGAATTGATGGCTAGTTTTATATAAAAATATCTATATCACTTTGTTTAGTAACAAATCAAAACTTTATAATAACACTGCCAATAGCACAAAGTTGAAACAGACCTTCGAGCCAACCTCATCTATCTCAAGTCCTCTGACATTATCCTCAGTTCTGGAGCACCAATGGCGGTGGTGAATTGCTGCCTTTCAGTGACTTCCACCACATCCCCCGACTCCCCAAATCCTTCATCTCCTTCTTCCTCCTCACAGCGGCTGCCGACCAAGATTATTCTTCCCAGCAAGAAGCCCTTGAAATGGTCCACTGGGGTTGCCCCCGGCGAATATGGTGGTCCACCGACGACTACCAAGCTCAGGAAGTACTGGGGCGGTGATGAGGATCCTCTTGCCTCCGATGATTACTTGTGGAATAAAGACTTCATGGATCGTATGAAAAAGTTCATTAAAGACCCTGATGATGATGCTGCCTCTGCCGATGTTTCCGCTGCGTCTTCTAGGGTTGGTTATTATTTATCTATTTATTTTCCTTTGTTGAGAATTTCAATGTTATTACCTTGTTAGGTTCGTTCTGTTTTGAATTGAATGAATGGAAATGAAATTCAGTGTTTCTAGTAGGAATCGGATTTGACAGCGCTCAAATTGAATTCGGGTTAATGGATGCTTTCATGGGACTAATAAGTTTTTGTTTCTTCTTTATGAACTACTGTAATAAAAAATTTCTTTTATTAAAAAATCAATTTTACATTCAAAACATAGCATCTAACACCTATTTATATCACATCATACGACAATTCAAATTTAAAATTTTTACTATTCAAATCCAACTCAAAATCCAAACCCCCAAACAAACACACCTTAGAATATAATATGATATAGGATTTTTAGCAATGATTCCCAAGCGTAGTATAGATTTTGAAAATGATCTTATGTTCTAATTTGAATTCCTGAAATAAGTTACTGTCATCTTGAACAATTGACCATGGTAATTTTGTGTCTGTAACATGATTTTCTAACCAAACATTATGATTTCTGTGGAGATTTTTTTTTTTTCATGTTTTTATAAAAATTATTATATAGTTAAGTTTGTGATGTTCATTTGGACCTTTTTCATTCAAGTAGGAGCCTTCTGGATTTCTGAGCTTAAATAGAGTGATGAGTCTCGACAAGTATGTTGCCGCTGCTTTTCCACACACTGCTTATTGTTGTTGAGATGCAGCTGTTTCACCATTTGATGATGCAGCTTGGAAGTTGACTTGAGCAAAGAGCTTTCAGGAACTTCGGCAACTTCAGAACCTTCGGCGCAGGAACATCAAGTTGAAGAGCCGGTATGGTCTAAAATTCAAGAGCCCCTTCTTGCTTACAGTCAAGTTTTGTGCATTCTTCTAAACACTTTTCAGGCGTCGTGATATGATATCTAGACAATGAGAACTGGTAAAAGATGGCGACCAGCGCCAACAAGGCGTGAGCAAGAAAAGTGGGACAGAGCTACTAAGGCTGCAACTGGAGGCAGTGTATGTCATCTTTTGGCTTACTATATATGTTTTGTATGCAATTGCTTAATCACACTGGATGCATTTATATCTACAACTGAAACGGGTATTGTATTAGTGGATGATGCTTTCTTTAAATACAAGGTTCAATGTCTTTACAGGATGTCATGTTTCGGGAATCAAGACGTTCGATTGGGGATCCTGAAGTTTTGGCTGCTCAGTCGAGGGAACAGTATTATAAGGCACTTAACAATAACAGCTTATGCTCTTCTATAACATTATGGTATAAAATGCAGGTGATCTCAGTTTTCCCTTTTAATTGTCTATCTTCTCCAGTTGAAGAACAAATTGCAGTTACTTACACTCGGAATTGGGGGTGTTGGAGTTGTTTCATCATATTTTTCATACACTCCAGAAATTGCAGCCAGGTGCCTGAAATTTCTGCGTAATTTTCAAAATTTATCAGCATTTTTGTTTCCAAGCATATGTGCTTTTTTGGAGGCATTATTGGAATTATTCAATTGTGTGAAATTATGAACAGTTTAATTGATTGGAATAGTAATGAATTATGAAGGCTCTGTTTATATATGTCTTTAACTTTTACAATTGGGTCTAAAATTGATGTTTACTTTAGCATATAGTGTTCTGGCTTTTGTGAGTATCAATAAATCTGAAAAGGCCAATGATTATGTAAGATATAATATGTTAAAGTTTGTAAAATCTATATTTGTTGGATAGGCTCTTGCAACAAAAAAAATAAAATAAAAGTCTACAAAAAGTACCTTTAGATGTTGCATAGTCACATGATTTATTTATTTATTTTGTTTTGGAGCCAAGCTCCATGTCCTTTCTAGTAAGATCATCAATAATATGCTGAAGGTTGAAAGAAAATATGCAGCAGTAGAGAGATGTATAATGTCATTTTGCATAAATGATTGCTGATATTTTTCCCGAATTTATAACATGATTGCTAATTGTTATCCCTTTACTACAAATCCGTTCAGCTACGGTTTTGGCTTGCTTGGTTCTCTAGCATACATGCGAATGCTTGGGAACACTGTTGATTCCATGGCAGATGGAGCAAGAGGATTGGTGAAGTACGTGTTTCTTGGCCCTTGGATATGAAATCCTTTATTCTGCTGAATTATTTTTCCGGGAATAGAACCTCAGTTTAAAATTAGCTACAGTGTTACTTCTGCTATTCATCTCTGCTGCATTCATAGTACATTTCTAACGGCCCGTTGTCCTCAGTGATCTCTACTATCTACTAGCAGCAATGGTGATTTTCTCCTTCGACCCTCTAGGTGGATTCTTTTGCTAGTGCATGCATATGTTCCGTTATGTAGTACTCATATGGAGCCTCAGTGGTTCAATAGATTGTCAAGAAGGTTCTTGTGTTGGTCCTAAAACTTTCAATTGCACTGAGTTTCGACTTTCAAAAATGGAACATTATTATCTTACCATTCGTCTTACTTCTTGATGTGGGATGAGTGTCACAGCATGTAAATTTGTCCACTCTGCAGTTTTTAGTTGGTTGTGTTGCTTTGCTCATACCTCCTAGATCACGACGATAATGCCTGCCTTCACTTTAGTAAAATTGGTTAAATTATTTACAGGGGTGCGGTGGGACAGCCAAGGCTACTGGTTCCCGTGGTCTTGGTGATGCTCTATAATCGATGGAATGGGTAAGATCTTCAAAGAACAGTGTTCTTTTGGTACCATAGCTAACAAAATTTATGATGCCAAATTTTTCCCCTCCGACATTTTCAGAATACTTGTTCCGGATTATGGATTGATGCATCTCGAATTGATTCCAATGCTTGTGGGGTTCTTCACATACAAGATTGCTACTTTTACACAAGCTCTTGAGGATGCTGTGAAAGCACTTGGTGGAGAGAACCAGGCTTGATTGATTTTGCTCCCTATTTTATTTAGTTGTGGTTTTATGAAACAATAATAGATTGATGTTTTTGTTGTTTGTTTGTAAACGTGTATCAATTGTTTGCTAATAATATTTTAGTTTATGGATGCCTCTCCATTTGTCACAACCATTTCTCTGTCTTTCTATCCCTGATTTTATTGTACTTCTTTCTCAAAATACTTGTAATACATCCAACAATCATGAGATGATGAATTAGGCTGTAATACATAACATACTAGGTTGGTGTGGTTGTGGTTTGATATTGTTAATTTGAATTTTTGTTTAATTAATATTTTAATATGATATTGTGGACAAATATACTCCCTCTCTCCCAAAAATATAGCGTTATTTAAGAAATATTAATATTATATTAGTAGTAGGTAAAATATAAAGATAAATAGTGGCAATTGTGTAATAATAATAAAAAAATATGAATAGTTTTACGGTGATATGATTATTTATGGAAATGAGACTATTGTTTTGGTACGGATAAAAAGTAGTAAATAAGACTATTATATATATAGTTTTATTGAATATTGTTTAGAATATAAATATTAATTTCACTTTTAAATTACAAAAGAACAAAACCATGATATGCATCTTTCTTGTTTTTTTATTAAACATATTGATTTGTCGAAATTAGTTGGATGCTCATCTCTTCAATCAACACACTTAAAAACAATCATATAGTATAGATAAAAGAGGTCGGCATCACATATCGTGTAAAATAAAATTATGTGTTTTATGTTAATACTTATAGTTGTATAGTAGATAAGTATGTTATACGCTAGAACCATCAGTAAAATGTATTGTATGAGATTATATTTTAGTTCATTTGATTTATTTGTATTATATTAATATAAATAATATGTCGTCTGTTAATATCATGTAATATCTTGCACAATATATTGTCATTATTGTAATGAATTTTAAATTCACCACAATAACAACCACCTTATATAAATAATATATAAATATGGTATATTAGTTTTATTTGAAAGATTTGTGGAATATTGACTTACTTATTTATATTTTTTATAATTAAAAAAAAAATATTAAGGTGAATAATATTATTTTATTTGATATAATTTCATATTCAATTTAATATATCAAGACATTATATAATTAAAGGTGTGATACAAATAAATTAATTTATAAGATTATCAATATCATATAACTCCTTGGTTTTATTTAATTTTTAATAAAATATTTAATTTTTACCTTTTTTTAACATTTAAAGGCATTTTATATAAATATAATAATTTTTTGTTAATATATTTTGATTTTATCTTAAATATAATTTATTTATTTTTAAATTTTAATCAAGAATATAAAATAATAAGAATAATATAAAATATATTGCCAAAATTTAATTTATAATTTTAGGGATAAAATTAAATATATTTAATAAATAATAAAAGGTATATCAAACTATATACATATTATCTCATAATAATATTACAATTAAATTTGAATACAATATGTTGTTATATATTATAGCTATAATTAAAAAATAAAAAATGTATAAAATAAATTATATTATTTTAATTTATAATAAAATTATTAAAAGTGTTTTGAATAAGAATATTAATTTTATTAATCCAACAAAAGTAAATAACTTGAGTTAGAAAAAGGATAATAATAATAATAATAATAATAATAAATTGTCTATTCTACTCCCTCCGTCCCAATACAATAGTATTGTTTATCATTTTTGTCCGTCCCAAAACAATAGTCTTATTTACATAAATAACTGTATCATCGTAAAACTACCCTTACTTTTTCATTTTTATTACACAATTGACACTACTTTTTACACTTAATATACTCACAAGGGCAAAAAAGTTTTTTATCCATACTTTTTACCGGCTACCAATATAATATCAATATCTCTTAAATCTCGTGTCCAATCCAATTAAGATTATATTTACGGAACAGATGGAGTATTAGATAGCATATTCCAAAACATATGCCATGAATATAACTTAAAAAGAAAAATTCCTTTGAAAGTATTGTAGTTACATTTTGACAATTGAAGCAGAACACAGAATATGGTCCTTTATGCATGCCACAGCCTATAGCTTTTATTGCCATATTCTTAAATAATTATTTATTATTACTTGTTAAACATCTCCAAAGATTCGAAAATGTTTTAACTATTTTCTTTATTATTATTGAAAACAAAATTGATAATCAATAAAAACCATGATTGAATATCCATTATTTATAAATATAGAAATATTTGATATTCAAATCAAATCAAACAAATATTTAAAATGGTAAAAATTGTATTTGAATTAAATTTTTTATTAGACTGAGTCAAATATAAGGGTTTATCTTCTAAAAAAAATTAAAATAAAATCAATATTATTTACTATGCACAATTTTCGATAAAAAATTAATTTTTTTTTTTAAAATTATCATATTAAAATACTATGTAGTAAAAATTCAAATCTAACATTCAATTTTAAATTAATTTTTTATTTAATTTTGGTTTGAGTTTCTGTTAATTTTTATGTGAATTTTTTTGTTTAAATAATACTATTTTATTAATTAGCGAAAATAGGTAAGATGATTTTGACAATTTTACTTTTATAAATATTATTTGAATATTGCTAACAAATATAAATAAATTGAATACTTTTACAAAAATTAAAGGTATTTTGGTGTTTTGCATATAAATTGTTTTTATGATAATAGGAATAAAAGATTTTTGAGTGGGACGAACGGAAATGATAAAAATAATATATTCTATTGGAGCTGAGGAAGTATAGTGTTTTGTGATATAAAATACTATTTCATCCGTCTCAATTCAATCTATCAATTTACTATTTTTATTTTCTATTATGGTAAAAGTAATTTGTATATAAATATTAAAATATCCCTAATTTTTATAAGATATTTGTTTTTTTTTTTTGAATGCAAATGACAAAAATATCAAAATAATTTTATACATTTCTACTAACTCATAAAATGCTAGTGTAAATACATTTTTTTCCTTATTTTTTTAATGTAAAATAATGGTATAATTGTAAATAAATAATAATAAAAAAAAAAGTATTGAGTATTTGTATTGAATAATAGAGTCTACAATTACTAAAAATAAACATATACATATTGTTATGAGATGGATAAAAATGACAAAATAGTATACCTTTACGCGGGTTGAAAAAGTATTATTTTTTAATATATTATAAAAAAATAAAATAATACTTTGAATTGAAACGAAAAATAAAAGCTTTATTGAAAAGTTCTTTGATTTAATTGATTTTGTTTTGGAGCGAAACAGAACATATCCTAACAAAATTATGCTCAATAAATAATTAAAATTTGAATTAATTGAAAATATTAGCAATTATTTCAAATCTAATAGTAAATCCAAAACAGCTCAAATTCGTTTACAATTCGAATCTAATTTAATGAAATCAATTTTTGGATATTATTAGTAGCCTTATATTGGCTCTAGATTCAAGGTTGGTTCAAAAATACTCACATAATTTGTCCTTATTTTATATTTTCGTCCGTCCCGCATAATTTGTCTTTTCTATTCTTGGAAATATAATTATGCACTTTAATCGCATTTTAAATTTTATAATTTTCTTAATTTTAATTAAACTATTTACTTATCTTAATCTTAATTTATAATTATTTTTACTAAATAATAATTATTTTTATTAATACACTTCTTAATTACTTATTAATTATACTTTACCTAAATTCTCGTATCTACAGTAATACACTCATGTTACATGGGACGGAAGGAGTATATGATGCTAGTAATTATAAATTGAAAATATCCAAAATAAGATTATTTTTTTTAATATCCTACCATCATTGAAGCCCAAAGTGATCAACTATTGTCACATCTTCTAAATTAATTTATTTTAATTATTATTATTTTACCTTTTGTCTTTGTATTTGAAATTGGATGAAATTTTTGTACCATTTATTCGAAATAATCCAACAAATCAAATCCATTGTTTTGCCAAAGAGTAGGAATTTTTTTTTTCATCATTCAAGATCATTTAGAGCTTAAATCGATGTTTTATTTACTTTTTCGGCCTTCTTTTAACTTTTAGAATTATTCTTTTTTTTAACTTTACGTTGATTCTCTAAAATATAAATAAATAATTGATGCATATTTTTTTAAGTTTAATTTTTTTTTTAAATAAGACGGTCATTTAACATAATTTAACATGGTATCAGAATTGAAAATTTCTGTATTCAAGTCTCACAATCTTCATTTAAAGGGAATTCAAAAGTTTAAAAACTAAAATTAAAATTTAGTAAAGTTAAAATGGATTTAGGATTTTAAATTATGTTAAAAAAAAAAAGAAAAAAACTGAACATGCCTAAGATTTGAATAAAGTTTAAAGTACTATTACATATTTATATAAGTATAGAAATTTCCCAAGTTTATAATTATATATTTTTATAGTTGGGTCATTTTTCATTTTTTACAATTTCACCTAATAAGCTGCAAATTGATTGTACGTGTAATAATTAATTTTTCGATTTTTTTTTTAAGATTCAATGTTTGAATTTTTATATTTTGGAATAGAAAGTATATGATGTTTAATATTTAAATCTAAATTATATAATATTATATACAAAAATTAAATTTTAAAAAGTATATATATATATTATAAGAAAAAAAAATACATATATAACAATACATACAACACACCAACTTGCAATCATCATCAATCATATGTATCATATCCATCTATATGTAGTTACAAATGACACCAACACCACACGTTGCTTGTGCCTCTTGTCCCGTGAGCTCGCGGGCTCGATCAAATATATATCATTCGAAAACTCGTTTGTGGTATTAATACAATTGGCTCTTCCCGCATTCTAAAGCCAATTAACGCCGTCTTCTGTATTTTTTTTAACTCTGCAATTCTCCTTTATCCACCAATGTAATGTTAATTTCCGCATGCATACATATTTGAATACATAGTTTAAGTTGATTTAAATTTTTATTTAATAGTATTATGATATAGTATTTTATATAAAAAAATAATAATATATTTTTATTAAAAATTGTAACAAATAAATAATATTAATTTCGATTTTAAATATTAAATGAACAAAGCCAACTCTTG